AGCAGAGTGACTAACTTAAAATGGTTTTTTTCTCAATGTTACTGTCAGACATTGTGTTACATCTGTATGTCATAGTAATTGTCCCTTGTCAGACAGTGATCAAAAAGTTGTCATCCCAAAAATAAGATGGTTTTTTTTTTATTTCCATTTAGAAAAGATTTATTTTAGACATGTACATTAATTCAAGTATTTTATTAGAAAACTTTCCAATAAACTATTGAATGTATTAGATAAAGCTTAATTATGATTGTTGAAATTGGTAAAAATTGTGAACTTGAGGATCAATCAACTTGAAGTTCAATCACGTGCAGGAAAACTGTGATTTCTCTGTATTTGGAATGTATAATTAATATCAAGGACAGCTTATTGATAAAATAATGAGTACTTCTTGAATACCGGTAGTTACTATTTTATTAATGAATGGGACATATGTCTTACAGGTAAATTTTATTTTCCTTATTGTATTAATAAGAACTGTTATGTATCTCCATTTTAGATTTGAATTTATTAAGAAGTAAATTAACATTTAAAAAAAAATTAAAATAATGAAAAAATAATCCTTTTGAAATTAATTAATGTGGTGAAAAATAGGAGGTGATTAATTGAAATTCCGATATGAAACTCATTGTTTGCTAGGAAAATAATGTCTATATCTTGACAGCTAAAGTTCTTTGAAAGAGTTTGTAAGTTAAGGACTTCTACAGGAGTCATCTGTCAAGTTCTTTGAACAGTTTATCCATTGATCAAGAATCTTGACCAGTAATATAGGAAGTAATAATGCAGATATAATGCAGATCAGATGAAAATATGAAAGAACTCCTGTTTTAGGCCTGTCTGGCCACTGACTGATTTATGGCTCCAGGGGTTGAATGCAGACCGTGGTGTGAGATACAGCAAAAGGGGCCACTAGTTGGTGCAGTAGGTCACCATGTTCAAGGTGGAGCAGGGATATCAGAATCGTTCCCGATCTCGGAATAGTCTTGTAAACCTGTGGGATGATTTCTCCAAGTTCCGACGCTCACTGCAGCTTAGAAAACCCAAGGTGTGATAAGTGAATTTTAATCATTATTTCTTTTGAAAAAAAATTATTTTGAAGGTTGGTAATCATTTTGAATATGTTTTCATGTGGATTTAAAATTTTACCTTAAATTGCCCTGGATATGAGCCGGAAATATAGTGAACTTAGGTGCTTTTGTAAAACTGACTGGCACTTAATTAGTTCATTTGCTTTTGTGGTTTTGGTGACTGAGGTTTATTCCATGTTTGGAGCCTTTCATTTTCTTCAATCACATGTATTGCACCTGTCACTTAAATCCATGTGTATTTATAGTCCAAGGTGTTTAATTTCCTGAAGATTTAATCTTTTGACATGAATGAAGCTGCGTAAAAAAAAAACTTAATTGTTTTAAATTTATGAAAATAAGCATTGTTTCAGAATTTTAATAGGGGGGAATTTTAAGTAATGTGCTGCGCATATTTTTGTATTTGGGAATATATTCTATGATTTGTTCTGGTATTGTTATCTGTCAGATTTTTTTATTTATCTAATTAATCTGAAAACTTGTTTAAATGTAAATATTAAGGTGAATTAGAGAAGAGTAATTGTATTGAGGATATATGGTATCTTGAGCTTTTGAAAAGTCCTTGACAATTAACAGCTAGCATATTAGGTAATAGTCCCACAACTAAAAATTTTGTATACATTATATTTGGTGAGGATTATATAAAGCTTAATTTAAAAGAGTACTATTTGTATTTTTGGACTGTAGTGCATGTTTTAATTTCAATAGGCTGTGTATCTTTTCAGTCTTGAACAGTTTAATAAGCAAAGGTAATGGTGATCAAGACATTAAAGTTGAACTATTATAGTTTATACTGTGAATCTGTAAAGAGAAGTAAACATTCTATCAAGAATTTTTGACTGTTTCTTCTCAGAAAGACTTTCACTCTATGTTATATTTGAGATGTTTAGTGTGTAGACAAGGTGTAAGGTAGAACCTGTAACTATGTATATTTTCTATACCTTCTATATATATCTTCAAGGCTACTTAGGAAAAGCAAATCCTTGTGCTTTGACAGCATTATCTCCATTTAATACCTGGGAACAAATGCTTACTCAGCAGTATATATGCAGTTAGTAAGTGTCCCTTTACATGTTGATGTTGATTGATGGCTACTTGGTGACTCACAGTTATATTGAAACTTTTGGATTACTGAAAGTTCATTTGGCTCGATTTTCTTATAGTTTGATAAGAAACAAAAATCCAGTCTATGAATTTATATTTTTTTCTTTATTATTATTGTTGAATACAACAATATGTGGATATTTAAAAAAAAATGAAACTGTTTGATGTCTATTAACATGGTAGAAAATTTTGACATTCACATACAGATAACAACACCCCCCCCCCCCCTTTTCTAGAACCATAGAATTTTTATGTTTGCAAAAATTTGATTCATGTCATGATTTATATAAAAGACTATAATCAGAGAAAAAATAAAATTACTTTAAGTAGGACTTTTCTGAGGGAAGTAAGTTACCACCCCCCTACACCCCCCCCCCCCTTTTTTTTTTGGAAGACCAAAATAATACCTTAAAATAAAAGATTTTTTTTTTTTTTACTAATTTCACAAAACAAAAAACAAAACAAAAAACAAAAAAAAAAATTAACATTAAAAAATGACAAAAATCAGAAAAGAACAACAACCAATCTTATTTTTGATTTTTTTTTTAACAAGTATGATCTTCCTTATGGTATAAAAATAACCCCCCCCCCCACGTTTATTCAACTTAAGCATTTTATAGTAAGAAAAGATCAGTTTATTTAGTCCGATTTGCATTATCAGGTAATCTGACTAAATATGATGAGAAGTTATATTGTTTTCAGCATTGTTTCCTTAAATTCTGGTCATGAACTCTGGTTGGTTAGTTGTCACAAAGAACAAATGATACTGAGGATTTTACAGGTGTTCGCGATCTCTGATAGAGGGGGCTGCAGTCATTTTTCGAAGTGACAGCCTCATTAGCTGCTGCCTGGTGAAAGTTCATTACCATTTTTAATACGCAGGGGACATTTTATAAAGTTTGCATAAGACTTTAATAAACCAGTAGAGGTACAGAGAGAAATAATGTGTATATTAATAAACTTCCTAAGATTACAAAGACCTAAGAGATGTACTTCTATATAATTATGTGGAACATTGGAGAGTACTAGAGAAAGTAGGACTGTATTAGATGGAGCTTCTTTGATGTTTGTAACTAATTATCCAGTGTAGATTTGTTAAAAGTGAGTGAGGCCTTTCAGTATGGGAAAAAAGGTGATAGATCCGTTTTCAGCCTCAGAATATCGGAAGCGCAATAAGAAGCAACCCATTGGAAGGACCCAAAGCTCAACAAGTCTGGCCTCCCTGTGGGAAGGCATTTCAATTATTCGGCGCTCATTTTTGCCCAAAGAACAGGTTTGAGTTTAAGGTGTATAATAAATCATTGAAGAGAATATAGAACACCATATTAATTTCTGCATGTAATAGAATATACATAGAAAAGTTGTGATGTTAATTGTAAAAATATTTCTCAGAAACTGATACCTTCTAGAAAGTTTTCCAGAAGTCTTATAATTTTGTCTGTGTAAGTAGACTTTGTCTCTGAAAATTTGAGTGGTGACAAGCTTTATAAGATAGGTCTTAACTTGATAGTTGACCCTTAGCCCTTGGCTAAGCATATTCTTTGTTGATGGACAGATGTCTTGATCATGAATGTCAGTTTTGTTGTTAACATTAATTGTTTTGTCTATACATGTACCCAACACCTTTGCTCCATTTAACATTGTAATAACAAATTCACAGGCAAATTGATAGTATTTTCCCCCCATTTGCATGATAATTGATAATAGATTTGTGTAATATGTAAAAAAAAATTTGTACAGAAAGGATAAATCTATAATAGTAACTGACATACTTGACTTAATTTATAAGACATTGCTCTTATGTAAGTCCCTAAATAAATATGAGCATTGAAACTTGATAAAATTTAGATCCATTGAAAAAAATCTTAAAAAATTAAAAGAGCACCAGTTAAAATGCTCTTTTCTTATTTTGTTAACCCCCATTTATAAGCAGAGTGTAAATACATTTGTAACAAAAAAGTTCTAGTTGATTTCACTACAGTTTGGCAACATAATGCAAGCATACAACAGAAACCTTTACCGTTTGGTACTGTTTGGCACGATTGAAAATGTTTCTGACATCTTAAATTTCATGTTTTACTTCATATATCTAAAGCCCAATCATTTTGCCATTATATCGGTACTGGAAAAATGTATCGCAATACGATATTTTTTTGTTAATGAATCGCAATATACCGGATTATCAATATTCTTGCGCAGCCCTATTATTTATTTTGCCTGTGACAATACATTTGTGTGCATTGCTTAAAGTACTGTTCTTGGATTGTTTGTGTTTAATTTTGATTTTTATTTACTTATTGTTTTACCCAGCAGATAATAACAGTTAGAGAACAAATGGCACTTATCCTTAACCCCCCCCTTTTCCCCAATTTCTATCCAACAATGTTCTGTTTATTGTCACTTTTAAACAATTCTGGAGATATTTACACAATAAGGAAATAGAGGGTCTTGCAAGAGATTTGGCAAGAGATCTCATTTTCAAGAAAAGCTGAGTAATCAATGAAAAAAACATGATATTGAAACACAGTGGTACAAGATGTTAATGCTTTAAGCCCTAGTCATATGTATTCATGAAACCATGCAACAAAATTAATTAAGCATCATATTAATATCTTACTGTAATTGATGACCAGAGTTGACAATAGTTTCCAGTACTTATAGTGACTAACAAATCTGAAAGCCGTATAAGATTATTTATGTACAGTTTGTATGTTATTTGACTTTTTTTTTTGGCAGTATGTATCTTTACAAATTTATTATGATTTTGTGATGTGAAACATGTTTTTGATGTTTTCCTTTTTTTTTTTTTTAAAGAATCAGAAATCATGGATTGAAAAGACTTTCTTCAAAAGAGATTGTATCAAATTCATTAAGAGTTCAAGAGACTCAGGAAGGCAAGTGTCTAAAACAGATGGTAGTTGAAAAGATATATAATTATGTACTTATGTTGTCATTTGTAAATTATTAAAATATTTGAACAAATCTAGAAAACAAACATACTTCTTTTTACATTCAGAACTTGCATTTAAAGGTTATAAGACTAAATAATTATAGTTTTTGTCCAAATTAGTTTTTATGTATTTGTAAGAATTTTGCTAAAGAGAGAAAATTAATGCATTAGTTAATTGTACAGGTGCTCCTGTGGCAGACCTGCAAGTTGGCATGCAACAGAGATCAAATCAACAGACAGTCCCAGCCACATAGAAAGGTGGCATCCCTATTCCCACACAGAGAGCAAACCCACTGATGCTTATGGCACCCTAGAATTCCAGGGGGCACCCCATCCCAGCAAAGCTCAGGTTAGCCAATACAAAGTATATACATTCAACAGGTAGGTAACTTTAAAACGTTTATCACTGGGGGTCAGTGTTCTTGGACTTTCAAAATTTTACAACTGCAGAAGATTCAGTGAACTGATACAAAGACAGAGTTAACATTCATTCGGATGTGAATTCGTCGGTAAGGGTAGCCCACAAAATCAACAAACCTTGTTTCCCCCAGACTATAATGATTCAACAGTAACTGATCAACAAAAGAAAATTTGTCTTGAGAATAGAAAATAATACAGTTTATATTTGTGACAGCTAGCAGTTTAATTCACTTTTTATGCACCTGTAATCGAAAAACTGGGGGCATGTAGTTTTTAGTTTGTCCATCAATCTGTCTGTCTGTCTGTTTGCAAAAATTTTAATCTTGCCCATAATTTTGAATTGGTTGAAGTTAGGACTTTCATATTTCATTTGTGTATTCCTTGTTACAAGACCTTTCTTGAGGTACCAATATATTTGACCTTTTGACCTTGGAGTTTGGTCCACTTTTTGCAAAATTTTATCTACCTGGTAACTGCCAATAACCTTTGATTAGTTGCAGCTAAGGCTTTCATATTTCACATATATTCCTCTTGACAAGACCTTTCCCTTAATTGGGTACCAGCATTTATGATCTTTTGACATTGACCTTTGAGTTTGACCTACTTTTGAAAAACTTAACCTTTGCCATAAATTTTGAATGGTTGGTACTAGGACCTTCATATTTCATATATATATTCCTTCTGACAAAGATCTTCCTTTTGGTATCAATATTTTTTACCTTGACCTGTGAGTTTGGCCTACTTTTAGAAAACTTTAACATAATCAACAGTTTATGCTAGGGCTCTTGTATTTCTTTTGTGTATTTCTTGTGACAAGACTTAGCTTCCCTAGGGTAACAGCATTTTTTTACCACAACCTTGAGCTTGAAGAGTGACCTACTTTTAAAAAAACTTCAACTTTGATGATAATTTTAAAATGGTTGGTGCAATATGGTTCAATATTTCGCGGTATCAAAATATTATGCTACACAGGGACACATCAAAACATGGACACTGCCATTCTTTCCATAATATGAAGGGTACCCATTTATTATCTGCAAATTCTCCTATACCACTGAATAAATTTAATGATACGTTCACAGAATCTTTTTTACACAGTGCCGTTGAGCACCTCCTACTTTATGATTTGATTGGACAGACATTTGGGCTTTCCCATAGCAAAGAATGGACTTTGCCATTATACTCATATGGGAGAGGGGGATAAAACTTTGCCATTATACTCGTATGGGAGAGGGGGATATCAATTTGTGAGCTCAGTGCTCACAGTACTTCTAGTTTAAAAACAGATGGTTAAATCATATGTGACAAGAACACACTCTTAATGTAGGCTCCCAAATGTCCAATATATTTTTTAGAAAATAGGGCAAATACATGCCATAATTTATGTCTTTTCTTACAAAGATTATACAATTATGGACTCTTTCAGTGGTGAATATGGTTTGTTATTCACCAGAAAAATATCAATATTGACCGAGGCGAAGCCGAGGTCAATATTGATATTTTTCTGGTGAATAACAAACCATATTCACCACTGAAAGAGTCCATAATTGTTTTATTATATTGTCCGGATTTGAATAAATAAGACATTGAAGGATGCATGATGATACCACTTCCATTTATGAACTTCTGTCGTAGAAAAATTTTTAAAAAATTATAACTTCCGTGTTTTCCTTTTGCTGTTTGTAAGACATCGTAATGTTTAGAAAATAACCCTCCGATAGGCTTGGCTAATATTTTTCCTGCTCATTAACACAGCTGGCTCCGTCCGTTGCTACCATTGTTTACAACGTTGTTTGAGGTGTTGATTGTGACGTCACAATGCCGCTGCACGCGCATTGACCCTCTGGTGAATACGGCTTCAAAACCAGTGAATATGTAGTGTTATGAACTGTTTGCGTTTGTATAGATTATATAGGGACTATTAATAGACTATATAATAAAAGTATTTAATATTGACATTATAATATTTTTGTTATTTTTTTCTGGTGTATTTTACATGAAATAAGCTAAAACTGATTTCACAATTGTTTTATACTACCTTAAATGCATATTTTACTAAAACAAAAAAGAGTTCTAGATTTAAACACTTGCATTTGAAATATTCACTATAGCTTAGTGTGATATGAACTTATTTACTCTTTATCTGGCAGTTTAAGTCAACAACATTAATGTTCTGTAACAGCAGGATTCATTAGGATAGTGACCCTTCTTCTAAGATAATTACGTAAATGTTAACCACAAATTGATGTCACAGAATATTTTAAAAGTTGTGGATTAATAAACTCAGAGCAAATAGATTCGATAGAAGCAAGTAGAATAAAAAGTACCAGAATTATTCAGTTCATCACAAAGTAATATGATGAAGAAAATTAGGACTAGGCCTTTATGATTGAATAAGAGACAATTTTTGGGCGGGTTGTCAATGGAGGGGGTTTGTTTGTTAGATTGTATGGGGTATACTGTAGTGAACAATTAGGAATTGCAGGATTTTTGCTTTTTGGTCTCTTCACTTTATGAAAACATCATTTCAACAGTATTAATTTTGAAAAAAAAAATTTTGTATTTAGTTCAATAAACATTGTAATTTGATCTTTTCAGAGAGAAGTTATATGGTATGTCTTTCCTTGAAAACCTCTAATTCTCAAAATAATTCTTTTGCCCTTTTGTCATTTCAGTATGTGAGGTTGAGCAGTTTTGACACAAAAGCTGAGAATGTGTTGCAGCTTCTAACCAAACACTGGGGATTAGAACTCCCCAAGCTCCTTATTACTGTGCAGGGAGGAATCTTAAACTTTGATCTCCAGCCCAAATTAAAACGGGTGTTCCGAAAAGGACTTCTGAAGGCAGCCAAGACTACAGGGGCATGGATAATAACAGGAGGAACTAATACAGGTATAAATGTCATAGCACTCACAGATTGTCTTATTTATCTCAAACTTTATGTTAGAAGATAAGAGTGTTCCTGTTAATCAAAATTGTATATCACATTAACATGAATATCAGATTAAGTGGAAGTCTATTTTATATTGTGTGAAATTGAAAATCAATAAAACAGAGAACCTTTAATGATTGTGAGAAAGCTTTGCACTGGACAACCAGTTTTGTTTATTCTGTCATTTTTTTCTCTTAATCACATTCAATTTTTCGGGCACACAGACTTCACTGAAGTCCTGACTTTTGCAACTTTACCCAAACTCCCAATACAGTGAAAACCTAAACTGAACAAAGTGCTCATACCCTATCATTCTGAGATGAACCAACTTGAGATGTTTTTAGGTTCTTAGTGTAGTGATGTCTTTGAATAGATTAAAGTAATTATTTTGTTTGTCTGTGTGCATGTCTACAAATGAAACCTCAGACTATTAACAATACAGTATAATAAAACCTCAAGCAGCAGAAAAAGAAATATTTTGCAGATATTTTCTGTATAAACCCTATTTTTGTTTACCCATTAAATAACTATAGCTTAAAAAGTGAGAACACATGTAACGAAAACACCTTTTATATTTTAGCACTTACTTGATCAGGAAAGGAAATGTAATGAATTTTTCATCAGTCACTCTATTTCAATTTTTCCATAGTGTCAAAGAAAGAAAACTGATTTTGTTGCATTAATGTAATTGTTGTAATTTTATTTCCACTTTTGAATGTTTCTTGCTTGATTTAGGTGTTTTTTAATGTTTCTTGCTTGATTTAGGTGTGACTAGACACGTTGGGGATGCTATCAGTGACCGTACTACCAAGCTGAAAAACAAAGTAGTGGCAATAGGCATAGCACCATGGGGAATTGTAGAAAACAAAGAAGAGCTGATTGGAAAAGATGTAAATTCTTCTTTATTCACGTTCTTTCTCATTTACTGACCTTCTTTTTTTTCTGCTGAAATGTTGAGTCCTAGGCACTTTACTGCAAACACATTTTGCATTATTTGCACAACATTAAAAAAATGAAGGTCACTTTTGCAAGAAAATTACCACTTAAATGGCAAGGTAATTAGACATTAAAATGCATGTATTCATACCATGTCAAGCATGTTGGATAAATACAGTATGACAGGTATTTTTTGTGGTACAAAATTTTGATGGCTTTATCCATCAAAAATAAGCATTTTAAATTTTGGTCAGATTGCAAAGGAAGAAATGGTTTGTGGATTAAGGATGTCTGTCAACCCCTTTGTGTTGACATTTCAACTAACTGTTGCATTTAGCTCTGTTGTAGGTTATAGTCCTTTAACTTAATAAATAAGGAAATCAGGATAAGGTATTTAAAGACATCATCAGTGTTTACTTGGCCTTGACCTTTGACCATGATTTTACACATATCTTGGTTGAGGATGACATCATTATCTCCTAATATGTATGTTTTATGGTTGAGTAAATCAGGATGATGGTTTTATGCTCCTGTAATTAATGATTCAGGGGCATATAGTTTTTGCTCTGTCCGTCCGTCTGTGTCCACAAAAACTTTAGCCTTTCCCATAAATTTTGATTGGTTGAAGCTATGGCTTTCATTTTCACATGTGTATTTCTTGTGACAAGACCTTTCTTTCAGTACAATCATATTTGACCTCTTAACCTTGACTGTGGAGTTTGATCTGACCCACTTTTGCAAAATTTTACCAAACTTTAACCTTTGCCATAACTCTTAAACATTTGGTGTTAGAGGTTTCATACTTCACTTGTGTATTCCTTGTGATAAGACCTTTCCATGGGTACAAATATTTTTGACCTCATGACCTTGACCTAGGAGTTTGATCCACTTTTTAATAACTTTTAACTTTGACCATAAATTGTGAATGGTTGGAAGCAGGGCTCTGTTATTATACAAGTCTATTCCTTGTTTTAAGACCTTCCCTTGAGTACCAAAAATTTGACCCTTTGACCTTTACATTAGAGTTTGGCCCACTCTTGAAAAACTTCAACTTTGGTCATAACTTTTGAATGGTTACTGTTAGGGCTTTCATATTTCACAGGTGTATTCTGTGTGATAAGACATTCCCTTTGGTACCAACAATTTCGACCCTTTGACCTTTGAGTTTGATTTACTTCTGAAAAACTTTAACCTTGGCTATAACTTTTGAATGGTTTGTGTTTGGCTTTCATATTTCACACATATTTCTTGTGACAACACCTTACCTTGGGTATTAACAATTTTGAATTTTTTCCCTTTACCTTGGAATTTGACCTTCTTTTGAAAAACTTTGACCTTGGCCATAACTTTTGAATAGTTGGTGCTAGGGCTTTCATATTTCACAGGTGTATTCCTTGTGACAAGACCTTTATTAAGGTACCAACAATTTTGATCTCTGACCTTGGAGATTGACTTGGATTTGAGAAACTTTAACTTTGCCATGAACTGTCATACATAGGCATCAGTGTTTCACAAACACATCTTGTTTTATTACACTACTAGAGTTGACCTTGGCCTTGAGCTTTGGCAAGTGGCAAAAAAGCTGATGAGCATGCCCCATTCTGATTATCATTTTACCTTATTATTACATATTAATTCAAGATAATGCATTTCGAATACCACTTGGAATTGACCAGGACTTTGACCTTTGACCTTGAAGTTGTGAATTGGTAAAATCTCTATTTTAGAATTACCCATTTTGATCATAATGATTGGTTGGTGTTAAGCTTTCCTGTGGTTACCCTAACTTTCATCCTCAATTTTTGGATCTAAATTATTTAAGATGCAGTATCTTAAATACCATATTGTTTGTTGATTTTCACCTTAATCTTTTCGTTGGGTAAATGATTTTCATGGTATCTGTATCTCAACTCCTTATTTTATGAGCTGATAAGTTAAGACTGATCACAACAATTTATATTTCACTTTTTAAAATTTAGAAAATGAAAAAATTACATATTACATTTATATAAATATTAAACAATTTTTGACTTTGATGGAGAGTAACATATAGATTTTCAATCCAAAAAAAACAAAACAAAACATATGATATCAACTGAAGAGAAGTCTAGGTCAGTATTGTGTTTCTTTGGATTCAAGTATCCTGACATTAGAAGTCAGAAATTGTTTAATTATATGACATTTTCATTAATAAATGTCTCTTGAGTTTTTGTACATTGTACATGTATGTACCTCTGACATAAACAATATACCTTTCCCTCATTTTAAAATGTCTTCAAAACATGTGAAGAAGGCATTCCAAAGGATAAATATAAATGGAAACCTGATTGGTTGTTAGAAATTGTTTCGAATCAAATTCCACCATACAAGGAGCTGAGAAGTACAGAAACATGTAAGGGTAATAAAACAATCTAGAGTCCTTTGGACAACTTGTTCATTGTCTATTTGGAATCATCACCACAAATAACCATGAATACAACCATTCATTTCAGTCATATAATAAAATATTTATCAATGTACAATTAGTGTATTTTCATCAGCCCTTTTAATTTTAGGTTGTTGTGCCATATCACTGTGTTTCCTCACCTAAAAGTAACTATGCAGTTTTGAACAGCAACCATTCATACTTCCTGTTGGTAGACAATGGAACGGTTGGAAAATATGGAGGGGAAATTATATTCAGGAAAAGACTAGAGAGATTCATTGCACAACAAAAAATTTCCATAAGTAAGTTTTGTATTTCAGATTGATTGCCAAATTAGTATGCAAAGATTTTTTATAGGATAAACTAAGTTCAAGTGTGCTCTGGAAGAGATAGATAACTGGTGAGCATCATAACCTATGGTCCTTGGATTTTTTAAATCCTAATTTAAGTTTTCTTCTTCTTTTTTATGTTTTTTCCTAGCTTTGAAATTCAAAGGGTACAATACCTAGTATGACCATAAAGAATACAGTGCTTTTTGTTGACAGCAGTCATTGGTATGAACAATTTCAAAGGGATTATAACTATAGATCTTAAGTTCAATAAAAGCTATTTCCATTTTTTTCTTTGTTAGATTTTATGGGACAGTCTTGGAGTTTTTATGATTAAGAAGTGAAACTGTTTTTTTATGACTCCCTCAGGGTATAAATACCGATTTACTCTGCCAGACACTCACATTTCCTTCATTCATAAAAAATATTAAATCTTTATAGTGCATAGAACATGTGCTGAAGACATTTTTAGGAGCAATGGATATAGATTTATTTCTTTCCTATTGGCCTAATAAATTATTAATGTTTTTTATATTGCTAGAAAATGGATTAACATTGAATATTTTCCAATTATCAGTAGTAGAAAGAAAAACAGGAAATAATTTTTATTGGTAATGACAGTTCCCATTGAAATAAACAGAATATGTTTAAGATTACAGTGACTATATAATCTCATGGATTTAAATTTAGATTTGATTATTCATGTATCTTTTATTAAAGGGCCAAAATTTAAAGGAAATTATTTCTTAGATTTATTGTACATTGTCTTTAAAACATCAACACATATGTTTTTGAATTTATTTTGCAGTAGATCAGAGACACTGCACGTGACAAGTCTTTAGTTTATGCTGGTAATATATGTTGATGGCAGTGTTTCTAACTTTGTCTGAAGGCCATAGGGTTTTTCGTCTCTTGTTAATGATCTTTCTTTCTGAAATGCAAAAAACACCATTGATTTTTTTGAGGGGTTTCCATGGGGATGCTGAGAAGTCAAGTAAAATAAACAAATAATTTATTCATGGTCAGTCTCTCACTTTTCAAATTATTAGGTTATGAAAAGTGTATTTTCCATTATGATAATTGAATGTCTTCATATGTTTGTATGAAAATAATAGTGTTGTTTTTTTTTAAGGAAATGTGGGCGTATGTCCATTCAGTGGCTACAGGCATCTGCCTGTCATATTGGCTAAAGTTCACTGATCTCTTGAAGCTTCAAAGCAGGGAAATTAAACGAGAAAAAAAAAAGATTTCAGGGTTTATGAGAATGAAATAAGTTTACTTGATACATTACAACCCAAAAAAATGAATAAGAATAGGCAGTGAAATAATTTATTTTTACAACATGCACTTGATGCTCATCTTATATTTGAATGCATTGACGTAGTTAGTGTCAAATATGTCACTTGATAAGGAAGATGTCTTTGATATGAAATGTTCATAAATAATACTTCATGCAGTGATGTATGACTTAATGCATTTTTTTTTATTGAGAAATCAGATTACATCATTCTCTACAGAACATTGGCCTGTCTGTTTGTTTGCAAAAACTTTAGCCTTGCCCATAATTTATAAATAGTTTGTTTTAGGGCTCACATTTCTTATGTGTATTCCTTGTGACAAGACCTTCCCTTGGGTAACAACAAGTTTGACTTCTTGATCTTGGAGTATGACCTATTTTTGAAAAATATAACCTTGACCATTACTTCTGAATGGTTGGTGCTAGGGCTTTAATATTTCACAAGTGTATTCCATGTAAGAAGACCTTTCCTTAAGTACCAATATTTTTGACTTCATGATCATGACCTTCAGCTTGAGTATGACCTATTTTTGAAAACCTTAACCTTGGCCATAAATTTTGAATGGTGTTGGGACTTTCATACTTCACATGTGCATTCCTTGTGACAAGACATTCCCTTGACCTTGGGTACGTACCAGGGGCATTGGCAAGTATTTGACAATGGGGAGGCGAACTGGGTGGAAAGGGGGAGGGGTCCTAACCAACTTTTTATGACATATGACATATACTAAACAATTAAAATTTCCGCCAAAATCTTGATACTTTTCCCATTAAGTTAATAACCTAGAGGTATTTTCTGATTAAAAAAGATCAATTAAACATGCAACCCAAAACAAATGTTTTATAATAATGTACTATGAATAAAACAAAACTGGAATATTTTTAATTAGCCATAGGAGCTGGGTTTTTTCCGAAACAGCATAGAAAGAATTTTGAAGAGTTTATTTCTACATGTAGGTAAATATTAAGATACATATAATTTTCCATTATTGCATAATATTTATTGTTACTTGCCGAAAGAATGCATAAGTATGAAATTTAAAATGAACAGGGTGATTAATCCTTCATAATCCCTCCATTTTTGAAATGCAGAAATATGTATGACAGTATAAAAAAAATCAACTAAGTTGTTTTAAATAGTAATTTTTACACAGTATTTTGCTTTTAATTAATTTAATAAATTACAACGTTGATTCAATCATTCATCAAAGATTTCCAAACATCGATCAACCAATTCATTAGACAATGAACAGGCCTGTTATACCAGGGGAAAGGGGATATGAGGAAGGGAGGGTGCTCCAATTTTTCCACGTTTTCTGAAAATAGTTTTTTCTTCAGTTTTTTTTTCTGGGAAATTTTTTTTTTGCTTACGTTTCGACTTGTAAAAATTCATTCATTTACACGCTGCTTGCCACCCCTCTTTCATACACACTTTCTGTTGCTTTTAGGTCGAACTCGGGCAAAGTCCAGAAAAGAAAAAAAAAATTCCGAAAACTTAAAGAATCCCCAGCCCACTCCCCCCCCCCCCCCCCCAAAAAAAAAAAATGTGGGCCTGATGAAGAATTGGTAGCAAACTTGCATGTAGAGTCATGCTTATTGTTAATACATGCCAGGTATAGGTATATAAACATGCACATCCCGTGTAAACAATAGCTTTCACACTTTGCCGCTCCATTGACCACAGATTGCCGTGATTCTTGCCGCTCCATTGACCACAGATTTTGACACACAAATTTTGTATTTACTCATTTAGAATTCATTTTTCTTTGATTTTTTTCCCCAAAATTATTGGGGCGGCAACCACTGCCTCTGCCGCCCCTTTGCCAATGCCCCTGGGTACCAAGCGGAATTCTGCTATTCAAATTTGCTCAATCCGCTTTAAAATTTGTATTCTGCTTTTTTTAAGTCTCTCAATATTTTCCGATTATACAGTTTTTGTTTGATAAATGTTTTGGCTTCACATTTCTTAATTCTTCAGTGTTTAAGTTTAATTATACAAAAATTTGTATTCTGCTTTTTTTAAGTCTCTCAATATTTTTCAATTATTCAGTTTTTGTTTGATAAATGTGTTGGCTTCACTATTTTCCTACTTTATTGATAAATGTAACATGCAATTTCAAAAATTCAACTGATATATAAGGCATTTCCATTAGAATTAGCAAGTTTTAATTTTTCAAAATTTTATAGGGCTAAATAGCACCCTTAATGAACCTTGTTCTTTGGTTACCATTTAGCTGATTTCAAAACTGGCAAAGGTCACTTAGGTGTGTCAATTAAGTTACAGTTTTGCAGATAACAAACTGAAAAGAACAGTGCTATCTGGGGTATATTTTCTGTCATGGAATTAGGTTTACTTTGACTGAAATTTACAATTACTTTTAAACAATATGGTAATTTCCACTGCAACATTGCAGGAAAATAAATTGGTTTACCACATGCCTTATGACATGTATGTCCACCCATAATCAATCTTGTGTGTCAGAAGAATGCAATTGACAAGATGCATCATTTCATATTGTATACCATGGGAATATGGCTCAGGCAAATCTTACTGTAGCTGTGAGAGCTCTAGAAATTTGGTTTTGGAAATCTCATTTACCAGTCACCAGATTTAATGACCAAAACTGGGATGACTCTTGAAGTGATGATTACTTGTATGGATGGAAATTTGCCAGTTTTCTCAATCTCCAAATGTCTATTATTGATAGTTTGACAAACTCCTAGTCTTATTTCCAATTTTATGGCCTTGTTATGGTATGTGGATGACTTCTGATCTTTTGTGACAGTTACTTTATTTGAAGCCGTCATCTGTGGCCTGATCGAAATAAAAAGACTCTCCATTCTTAGGATTTGACACCTACTCTTATGCAGTGAAAATGTCCATCTGAATGCAGCCGCTTTCTAACGTTTTTAATTGACATATTTTATAGTTTGTTTTAAAGCACACCATTTTTTTTTTAAATCTCAAAATTACTGTAAACATAATACATTTGACTGTGTATTCTTTTTACTGTTTTGGTGGAAAACAGCATCCGCTAAATCATGTACATAACTAGATTTCTTTAATATATCTAGCACTTTCAGAAATGTGCTAAATCAAATCTTCACCAACTTGTTGAAAAATAAATTTCTGCCAAATGTTATGCTAAATATGATACATTAATTCAATTAATTTTAGGGGAATGTTGAGTATATTGTTTGGAATTTGTAGAATAAAACAACTTGTAATTGATTTTCTAGGCCTTAATTATCTTGAAAGTGTTGGACTTCATTGTTCAAGGAAGACATTGTGCAATTCTCTAAAAGGCCTCATAAATCTGTTTTAAAGCTAATTTTCATGTTATTGATATCATAACTGCACATCAAGTAATAGTTTGTGTGGATTGAATATCATGAGAGCATCCTTATCAGCTGTTATATTGAACTGTTAGCCCATTCCATTAAAGGAGGATAGCCTTAGTGATGCAGTAATAGCTGTTGCGATTAGTTTACACACTGTCTGTCAGCGAGGTGGGGGAAATCAGGCCTATGATTTCTTGGCGTAAACATTTCTATCCTTCTCTTAAAATAATGAATCTGTGAATGGATGAGGCCATTTTGCATGTAATCAGAACCGTGTGTTGTCAACAAATCCTTCAGATGCCCACATAAGTAGGATGAATGGGGGGTAGACGTGTAACTTATAGGCCTTTTGGCAGTCTTGAATATTGAAAGGGTTCATCATGGTGCCATTTGTATTTGATAGGTACGGAATTAAGGTATATTGATTCCACACCCAAGTTTATATCCATTTTTTATCATCTATTGACTTAATTGCTAAAATATCATTAGTACACAGCGAATTTTCTTGAACCTAGGGAATTATTAAGAGCAGCATATTGTTTAGAAATTACAAATGTATTGGTTGTCAACCATCAAAAAAGAGCATGTGTAATTTGCATAATTCCACATGACTAAAGATTGGCATTTACTGCACATGAAATATTTGCAGATATGAATAATTTGATCAACAAATTATTATGACACATATTTTGGGATAGTACAGGTAATTTGGTATTTATAAGCAAGAAAATTTTTCCACAAATTTCAGTTTTTGTTGTACATTTTCTTTATAAAAAAAAATACAAATGTACCCAAGAATGAAATTTTCCAGTGCAGACTGTCTCACTGAATTGTGCAGAAATAAAGTTCTTACAAATAAAAAGTGTAGTGTACAAGAAAGAGTAATGAAAGAAAATGGTTTTTCGATATTAATATGTTACTTTCGATTTTTATTTCATTTATAACATAGTTAGGCCAAGCTTAAAGAGGCTGGGGGGTTGTGGCCATTTTTATACTATATTGATCTCCTTTAGAAGAAGAGCTCCATATGAAGATATAGAAAATGAACAAATTTTAAACTAAAATTTTTGAAATTTTTCTTTGCCAAATGATAGTTGACAGCTTAAGATATCATATCTAAAAAATTAAATTAAAATTAAAAATTAAAAAAGTTAAATCTGGTGGTTAATTTGTGGTTAATTTATTGACCCCCCAGCCTCCTTAAAAAATTCTTCGTTTGCATTTGCCGATCTATAAATTTTAGAGTGGGTAGGTAGGTAGTTTTTTTCTTTTTTTTGAAGAAAAGATATTAGTTTTCAGATTTTGTTAGATAACAAAAATAGGCTTAGTAAACATAAATAAGCTCCACTTGTTGTAAGACACTGACTGATAAAGACAAAATACAAAAATAGAAAATGAAACGGTTTCAATATACAAAGTAACTGAAAAAAAGTTTGGGTCGGGTGCATTTTCAATGGGTCGGTAGGCAACTGCAAACAAATAATTTTTTTATTTTAGTCCCCAGTAATGCGAAAAAATTAGCTGTACATATTACCTATGAAGTACATGATCTACAGCCACAGTTGTAATATCGTTACAGCCAGTGGCGTGAAGGGGCGTGGAGTACCAGTGATCTGTGTGGTCCTAGAGGGTGGTGCCAACACCATCCGCTCTGTATTGGAGTATGTGACAGACAAACCACCTGTGCCTGTGGTGGTCTGTGATGGAAGTGGTAGAGCTGCAGATCTCCTGGCGTTTACACACAAATATGCTCAAGAAGATGGGTAGGTGAACTATAAGTTTCAGAAACTGCATGACCTTACATAAATGGAAACTATAGTTGTAGGTTCCTGTGGATGTAACGGAAATTTGAAGTAGTTTTACACAGATAAATAGTAGAGTGCCAATAAGTAAAAAAAGGATTTCAAATTCTGCCTTAATAGTTAAGGCAAAATTGCAAAAATAGAATTGTGAAATACATTCGAACCCATCCTCTGATGATGCAAATTGGAATGAATTAATTTGCAAAGATTTCAGACAGAGAGATTGTATAAACTTTGAAATCTTCAATTACAGAAATTTCTTGTCATAATTCTACAATATGTATCATAATTTATCAAATGCTAATTATTAGTGGCCATTTCTTTTTTCTTCTGTAAAATGAAAAGAAATAGCTAGAAATAGGCTTTCAGACTTATAACAACAACAACAACAAAATAGAGTTAGTAATTAATGATTTATCATTATCTTCTTTTTATTAGAAAGTAACAAGATTTTCAAAGACATTGCACAAACAAAAGCCACAAATTCTAAGAAAAGAAGATAAATCAATGCCTGAAAACAGGAAAATGTAAAATCAATGATTTCTGAAATGAAAGCATGGAGAATAGCACCTGATCTTGTGCCATTGTTTAAGGAAACAAACCTTAAACATGGAAGTTTCTGCACTCTGTGTTTCTTGTCAGATGATTAACATAAATCGAAAGTACCGGTAAACACACACCGACTAACATTTTCTTTGAAAGTGTTAGGTGACCTTTATAGATATCTGTGATATGAAAAGTCCTGGCGGCTTATTTACTAGGAACGTGTTGAGAATTTTTTTTCAGTGTGATGACTGGTTAATGATTATCTTATAAGTCTTAGAGACATTTCTAATTTGCAAAAAATAATTATCTATCTCTTAATTGACAATATGCTTTCTTGTTTGATATTTTGCTTATAATCTATTGATATTTTCTGGAATAACAAAAATTTTAGTAAAGATAGAACATTTATATGTGACATTGTGTATTGTTTACAATATTTATTGCAGTAGGGCATGTGTTGCAAAAAACACAAATTTATCTTTCCATATTTAGGACATCTTAAAAACATTCTGTTGGCGAATTTCACAGGTTTTTCATTTCATGTCGAGAAAGTTTTTGGCAAAAGTAAAAAGGTCATTTTATGCTGCTTATCTCTGCACTTTCTGTTAAAATGACTGGGGTTTTATGTAGTTAATTGACTTGTATTTTTTAATGGTCCATTAAGAGTGACAGTAAACTAAATTCATTGTTCATCTCTTGACAGTATTGCAAATGAGAGAACAAAATGTTTGGAGGATAATTGTGTGACATTAAAAAAAAATCTCCACTTCCTGAAAAATTGGACATAAAATTCTGAGTGTAATATTTTATGTGTAAATGAAAACTTTTCAGCTTAAATTGCCATTTTTCATGCATAAATCTTTAAAAGAAGCCATTTATTTCTGCAGTTGAAATGTATATTTTATGTAGCACAACATGCAATTCTCCAATTTTAAGCTTGTTTAAGAGCTAAATAAGAATTAAAAGTCGGAAAAGCAAAAATGACATATTATATACTTAGTCAAAGCTCAGTCCTTGTAATATTGTATGACTGACAAATATTGGAGATATCCAAGGGTTAAGATATCATAGTTGAAACTGGAAAGTTGTAATTATTTTACCTCTGTGAATTTTTTCTATGTAAAAATATGACGAATAAACATGCTATTTTTTCCAAACAGCCCCTACCGTGGAATAGTTTTTGTGCTATTTGCCCGAAATAGTCATTAAACTATTCACCGGCAGCATTATGTTTCCCTCGCTTTTCATCTCGGAACTCTTCTGGTTTTATCCAGATTGTGACGTAACACAGGTAAAAACTGCCTATGTAAAACACCTATTTACTGATCGTCCCCCTCGACGGCAACTATTTCCCTGGGCTGCACCTCAGGAAATAGTTGCTGTCTTGGGGAACGATAGACTTGCTTTTGTCCTCATAGCCAGTAAATAGGTGTATACTGTTGTCTGGCTTCAGCACATTCCAGTATTCAAGACTTGAAATACCAAATTTAAACTATGATTTAAGTTTCATAATTTCATACAAATAACATATGATTGAAATGAGGAGTTTTATAGTGAGGATTGACTAAAGTCTAGTAATACTGATATAGTATGTGTTAACTGTTTCCCTAACTCATTTGTATTTTCCTTATGGTTTCAAAACTATAGCCATGATTTGGGTGTCCTACTTGATGATGTTGCTTAAGTACTAGAGGGTATATAATATTGTTTTTACGACTTGTAGGCTTGAGCTGGTTTCTCTTGTTAAATACAGGCCTTTTTTTCAGGACAATGGTAGAGAGTTTGAGAGACCAGCTCATTCTCACAATTCAGAAAACCTTCCAGTATTCACCGGAGCAAGCTGAAAAATTGTTTTTGGAACTCATGCTTTGTGTGAAGAAAAGAGAATTGGTAAGTAATACAGGGAAATAGTCATTTCTAACACTGCAGAACTAGAGGTCACCTGGGTTTATTGTGAACTTGCTTGTAAATATGTTGTCTGTTTTTGTTGTCATTGTGAAATATTCTTTTTTTTTACTGATGGGTTTGGTACTGAAAGTTCATAATGAAAATGCTGTCTTGTTTGACTGATGCTATTATTATACATATTTTTGTGTGACACACCAGGCATTTTGTTTTGACATTATTTCCGATGCTTCATATATTTACTGGTCATTTTAGGGAAAGTTTGAAAAATGTGAATTTTTTATAAATGATTTTGAATAAGGGGATATTATTGTGGCAAGCAATTAAAAAGGAATCAGCATTGTTTTAATGAACTCAACTATGATGCATTATAACAATTAAGATGTAAATAAACACTTTATTAATTTCTTAGATCATGTGGTGCCATGAGGCAATTTAAGCTATTTTTTACCTTTTGCGATTTTTTATTATGTGTGTGTTTTTTTTAAGATGGAATTATTATGGTATATTGCTCTCAGGTTGTCTGTCTAAGCATCTGCCTGTCCCTCTGTGTACAATTCAGTTTTCTGGACTTTTAATCATGACTTTTGTCCTTTGAAAATATTAACAAGTCAATTTTTGGGACTTTTTTTGATCAGGCTCTGATATTATGATTTGATACTTGGTTAAAATTTAAGTGATAGAACATGTTTGAGTTTTACGGAATTCTGTCTGATTTTCAGAGAGATACATCCTTAGATATGAACATTGCAAAGGGAGATTAAAAAAAATATCATAAAATATAGTTTATTTACGTACAGATACAAATGATTAAGGTATTGCTAAAAAGAATTTACAGTGTTTTGTCTTTATAAAAAATTTTCTATCCTAAATGTTGCTGATTTTGGTATAGAACAGGTGACCAAGTAATTTTAGAGGCAGAAAAAAAGAAACTTGCATTATTCTGCAAATGCAGAGAAGTGCAATTTGGGTGAATGTTCTGTTAATTTCAGCTGCTATGGGGATTAACTTCAAAAGATATAAACAGGAATTGTTAGTGAGGTATGGTGGAACTTCAGTATCTAATACTGATTTCTCAAATATTATGAATATGTCAAAGTCCCTTGGAACTCCCAGCTACATTTTAGCTCATCTGACCCCGAAGGCTCAAGTGAGCTCTTCTGATTGAAGTGTGTCTGCAGGGGTGTGCAATTACCATCGCCCGACGCCCGGGGCTACCAATTTTTGAGGTCGGGCTATCATAAATCTATACTGCATTAGCCCGTCGGGCTAGTAAATCTAAAACGAAAGTATACATATATTTACATCGACTGAATTGATGTACGAATTAACTTTGTTGTAAAATCATAATCTTTAATTCGTTTTAACCTATATATATATATTGTGTTGCTATCGCCAGTCGTTTCTGTGACAGTTATAGTCGAAGTACCTGACAATAACAAAGCGCAAACCATTATTTGTTTTATTTATTTCAACTTAAATGGTTTTTTTTTTTACCTTTTTGTTATACTTATACATGTATTGTTTTCGATACTTAATGGGCTAGTGACTGACAACCTCGGGCTAGTAACTTTGTTACTGCCACTAGCCCGACGGGCTATTAACTAATTTTTGTAATTGCACACCCCTGGTCTGGCATCTGTTTGTCATGTGTTGTCTTTAAACTTTTCACATTTTTGACTTCTCCTCAAGAACCACTGGGCTAATTTTAATCAAACTTGCCAATAAGCATTCCTGGGTGAAGGAGATTTAGGTTCATTCAAATGAAGTGCCATGACCTCTTTCGAGAGGAGAGAATTAAGAATTATAGGAAAATTAATATCATCTTTCAAGGATCTTCTCAATAACCACAAGGCCAGAAAATATATTAAAGCTTATTATATAGTGTAGATTCAAGTTTGTTCAAATTATGAGCCTCAGAAGTAGGGTGGGGCCATGGTAGGGGAATAAAGATACATAGGAATATATAGGAAAAAATTAAAATTCTTCTTCTCAAAAACAGGAAAGTCATGATTAATCATATTTATACTGAAGCAACTTCAGGTAGTGCAGATTCAAGTATGTTCAAATCAGGACCCCCAGGGGGTAAGGTGGGGTCACAATGGGGGATCAAAGTTTTACATAGGAATATATAAGGAAAATCTTTAAATATCTTCTTCTCAAGTACAGCAAATCCATGATCAGTCAAATTTATTTGAAAGCATCCTCAGTTAGTGTATATTCAAGTTTGTTCAAATCATGACTTCTGGGGATAGGGTGGAACCACATTGAGAAATCAAAGTTTGAAATGGAATATACAGAAAGAATCTTTAAAAATCTTTTCCTGAAGAACAGCAAAGCCATGATTGGTCATATTTGTATGAAAGCATCCTCAGGTAGTTTAGATTCAAGCTTGTTCTAATCATGACCCCTGGTGGTAGGGTGGGGCCACAATAGAAGATGAAACTTTTATACAGGAATATAGAGGGAAAAATCTTTAAAATTGTTTTAAAGCCATGATTAGCCATGTAAATAAGGGAGCATCTTCAGTTAGTGTAGATTCAAGTTTGTTCAAATCATGACTCCCTCCCCTGTCCCTCTTGGGGTAGAATGGGACCACTTATATATTTAAACTTTTCAATACTGAACCGATTTCTGATTTTCTCTAACTAAAGTGTTCAGGTGAGTGATGTGGCCCAAGAGCCTCTTCTTCTTCATGTATTTCAACCTTGGTTTCTTGAATCTTAAAATATTTTGAAGTTTTTTCTTCCATTGAGTTCCAAGATAAAGAGGTTTGACTGTATATTGTTATATATACATTAATAAATTACTTTTGTGAAGAAAAGTAGAAAATTGATGATGTTCACGTACAGCTTTTCAAGTGAAAAATAGAATCACCTAAATTTAGCAACTTAATTGTTAGAGGGGAAAAAAATGGTAGTATTTTAAAAACACCTGCAGGATTGTCAGAATGAAAAGTGACATAATGAGCTTGCACTGTTGTTAATGTCAAATGTTTTTCACTATTTGTTTAAATTTTTGTACAATTTTGGGTGTGATTTTACTTATCAACAAATAAAAGATATTGATCAACATAACCAATACATGATGAATTTTTATTTCATAGTTTTTTTTTAATACATGCATGTACTATATTTACTGTATATGATTGTCTTTTTTTCATAGATAGAGATGAAATAATCTAAGACTTTTTTTTTGTCAAAGATTATTATAATAACTTTTAAAGTTGTTTTAAAAACTAGAAAAAAAAAAAATTAAATTAGGCCAGCGATACATAGTTTTAATCTTGAGTTTCTCAGGCCAAAAATGCAGCACAGGTTCTTTTTTTTTTTTTTTCTTTTTTTTTACTTTAAACAAATCTTTGTTCTTTATACATCATTGAACTGTAAGAAGAGAGTTTGACAGACTGCATTTAGCATTTACATTTACATAATTTTATTCATTAAAATTTTCTTCTTAATTAGCTTACTGGTAAATGAAACAAAATGTACAGAAAATTACATTTAAAAACCACACAATCTCTTTAGAACTAAATAAAAATACAGTACATTGTATACTGGTACTTAATATATTAATCTAGGGTCATAACATCATATTTGAAAGATGTGAATTCAAAAATGTATTTTTATCAGTTTTGAATTTTCAAGAGTTAAAGGGCAAGGTTTACTTGGGGCCTTTGAAAAATCAAAACTGCTCAATTATAGTTGACAATGCATCGAATATCACTTGGACTTAAAAAATGACATGATTTTCTCGCTAGCCATTAATGTGTTATGAAGTCATGAATTGTATCATTATACCCATATTCTGAAAATTCCTTCAAAAATGGTAAAAAATTTAAGCTATTTTTCAATATTTTGTATATAGCACAGCCTCTGATTTAAAATGTGCAGGCCGGTATATAATGATAGAACTGTTTCTGGAGAATATAAACATTTTATTTTTTGGATTGAGGAGTATGTGTGCTCTTATTTTAATTCTTTGCTTAAGGTGCTCAAATACACCTGTTTTCTGCAAAATACAAGAACATTGCTATTTCACAAAGCCTGTTCCAATAATAGAAAATTAAAGGGACAGGGCCATTTTATGCATATATAAAGTAAATGTAGCTCTTTAGAGTAAAGTCTTCAATTTTCCTCTGTTTCCTCAGAGGTTTTTAATTTTATGATTTAGGTAGTTCAAGTGTAATTAGAAATACAAAAAAATGGTCTTCCAATATTTTTGTGGCGAAAATTATTGTTAAACAATTGACGAATGTTTGTACTAATTTCGTTGAATATGTCATATATTTGTCAGGGAGAAATGGCAACTGTGTGAGCATTGTGGCCAATGAACCTCTTTTGTTTTGTGTTTTATTAGTTGCTCTGCCTCAAGCTCCCATTTGCCAACTTTTTTAATGTTTTAAACTTGCAAAGAATGAACAGGAACGTGCTTGTTAGAAGCATGATCTTACAGGGTCAAGGTCAGAACATTAGTGTCACTTTGAAGACTTTCAAATAATTTATACAAGACATGCAGGGGACATGGTACGAAGTGAAATAAAACCTGTTGTTAAACTATTTCAGGAATAAAGGCTGAATAATAATTCATGTACGAAGATGATGATATGAATTTGCATCTTAAAGAAACTTAATTTCCCATTTGATATTGCTGTAGCCTTTTTTCAAGGATGATTTTTTAAAATTTATATATGCTTATAAATATCTTCAATTTATTTATGACATATTTATGCCTAGTGAGTAAGGACACTGAGGAGGCAGCTCCAAAACCTGTGTGCAAAATTGTTTAAAAGAGCTTCCTCAACTACTTAAGTTTTTGTTTTATTTATTCTAGTTGCAACATCATAAAGGAAAGGAAAAAAAACCATATAGAATGTCTTTAGGTATCTGATTGATTGATTGTATGTTGTTTTATGTTCTGATCAAGAATATTTCACTCATATAGAATGTCACAATATACTAGTGAAGGGCTTCAAATTTAGACCCCCACTTGGCACTCAGGGCCATTGAGCAGTAAGGGTTCTTTATGGTGCCAACACCTACCGTGACATGAGGCCTCAGTTTTTAAGGTATCATCCAAAGGACCAGCAATTTTCACTTTAGAGTGCCATGCGCTTGGCGAAGGAACAGTTGCTACCTATTTTTCATCAACGTAGGTCAGTCGTGACCATGATTCAAACACATGACCCTCCAAACACGGAGTAAACGCTCTACTGACTGAGCTACCATTATGGCTCTTTAGATATCTAATAAACATTAAAAATAAGTCATATACCCACATCAAATGTCATCAAAGAAATGGGTAAAAATACTTCATTTTTGTCATCTGACTTTAATCTTGGGTTGGCTATGAAAAGCAAATGATGCTATTGATTTTTAGGTCAAGGTCAAAGCAGGTTTTCTACAACATCAAATGTTTTAAGAACACTTTGCTTGATGGTCATCAGATTTCTTGTAGAGTTTTAGAAGTTGTTTATGACAGGTAGATAAAACCTTATTTAAAGAATTAGGTAAAGAGGATATATATATTTTAAAACGTTTCTTGTCTTTTTGTTACAGATCACAGTATTCCGAATGGGAGAGGGAGCTCAAGACATTGACCTGGCTATATTAACAGCTCTCCTCAAAGGTTTGTAAACCTTGATCTCAACTAACCTATTTTTTAAGATTATTAGAAATTTTTGTAACTTTTTGAATATGATTTCAGGATACATGTATATGTAGAGATTAAATTCCATGTCACACAGATTCTGCAAAATAGAATATGCAATCAACTTACAGTTCTGCTTAAGAATTTCCTCAATATCACATTCTCATCTAATTTTGCTTATTAATTAAAAATATAGAAGTATAATACTTACTTGTAGGAACGAACGCCAGTGCCCCAGATCAGCTAAGTTTGGCCTTGACCTGGGACAGAGTTGACATTGCCCGTAGTCACATCTTTACTTATGGACAGGAATGGCCGGTAAGTAAAATTATCATTATCAACATGAATGTCAACACTCAATTCTCAACATGAATGTCAGCATTCTCATTATGAATGTCAACACTTAATTCTCAACATGAATGTCAACATTTTCAACATGAATGTCAACACTTTAATTCTCAACATTAATATCAATACATGTACTTAAATCAGAATCTTCAAAAGCTGAAGATATATCTTTGAAAAGATGGCAAGATTTGACAATTTGGAAACCAAAAATCCTGCAGTAAAACAGTAAATATATGAATGATGGAATAAGCATATAAAATGACTAAAAAAACAATTGTGTAGAATGATGAAATCTCATGAAGTTCAGTTTTAGTGGATTTCATAGGTACCCCTCATGAATTTATGATTGAGATTGATGTATAGGTCCTATCTTTTATAAGGAGACATTCACCCACAAAATAGCTCTTTAACAATCCATGGAATTTGACCTGCATGAATTACAGTACATGTAAAAGATAAGCCAGTTTAGACAGTCTTGATCTGTGTTATAGGAGGGATCTCTGGAACAAGCTATGATGGATGCACTCATTAATGACAGGGTAGACTTTGTTAAGTTGTTGTTGGAGAATGGAGTCAGTATGCATACCTTTCTCACCATTCCTAGGCTGGAGGAACTCTATAACACAGTAAGTACTCAGAAACAGTTAAGTGTTTAAAAAGTCTTAATCTGTATCATCACCAACAATGCATCAACAGAGGACTAATTTTTCTCCCTACTTGTAGAGACAGGGTCCAGCAAACACACTGCGATACTTAATCAGGGATGTCAAAAAGGTTAGTACCAAACTAAGATTATTAAATGGAAAAAAAAACTTAATAAGATTATAATAACAAATTTAAAACTTAATAATTTGAAGAGACTTGCATAAATAGGGTTTTAATTTTTAAGTATGTTTTTAATTATCATGTGGAGAGAACTGAACACTAATTTAGTGGAAATTTTATGAAGTATAAGACTACAAACTGACCTGAGATTTTTTTAACACAGCATGTTTTGTCGAGCTATAACTACACACTGATAGATATAGGGATGGTGATGGAACATTTGATGGGAGGAGCCTTCAGGTCAACCTACTGCAGAAAGCGATTCCGACAAAAGTACAATGCTATCAAGAGAAATGTAAGTAAGAGGAGGAGGTCTACCTGAAAAGGAAAGAAAAGTTTATACATTACAATTCTCTCTTGTTGGAGCAAATCATACTGTAGAAAGGAAGTGCTTTTTATTACTTTTAAAGATCTTGCATGCAGTGTTTTCAGTTAAAAGCAAAATTTATGAATTGTTCAATTGAAAAAAAAGATGTATTTGGCATTACTGTGATAAACTATCAGTTTTCATGGCTATAATTCCAGAATACTGCAGGCAATCTTCACAGCATTGTGACAGAACTACCTCTGATGATCGACACAAAGGAAGCACAGGAGCTTTTCCCTTACCCCTTCCATGATCTCATGATTTGGGCAGTACTGATGAAGCGTCAGAAGATGGCGCTGTTTATGTGGCAGCATGGAGAAGAGGCCATGGCTAAGGTAAACATCTTATTAGATTTATCACTTTGGAGATGTTTTACTTAAATGATTATGAGACTTGTTTATTGAAGTTTATACAGATATTAATTATGTTATAGCTCTCAAAGGATAATGTTTTTGGGAATTTTATATATATATGTATAGAAGTATAGGAATTGGCCTTCTCTCTAACAGGCTTTGGTAGCATGTAAGCTGTACAAGGCCATGGCTCATGAAGCAGATGAAGATAACCTAGAAGTGGACATTTCAGAGCAGTTCTTAAATGATGGAAAGTAAGTTGGAAAAAAGTGAGATCATCACACAACATTGTAGATCATCAAATTTTCACAACACCTTATTTTTTGTGAGAAAATCATATGGTATTTATTTAGCATGACAAAAATTTCACAAATTCTGATCATTGTTAAATATAATCCTTAATAATTAAAACATATGCAAGAATGAAAGTTTAGTGAGCAGACTGTCTCTTGTAATTACGCAAAAATATAGTTTTCATGAATAAAAAGTGATTACAGTAGTCAGAGTTCTATCTCTTGCAGATATTAGTAATATGTATAATGACTTTCTGTAAAAACAAAAACAGTTTATGCACTAATACCCAATGCTGTGCTCGAATAATATTTCATCAGTTGCTGTGACAGGTTTAATGTCAATTAATTCCAACTCAAGTGACATCCATATCATAAATAGGGAATTTGAAAAATTGGCACTGGAGATGTTGGAACACTGCTATAAGATAGATGACGACTACACACAGCAATTGTTGACCTACGAACTAAAGAACTTCTCAGATCAGACGTGTCTCAGTCTGGCTGTGGATGCCATGCATCAGGATTTTGTGGCTCATACTTGCTGCCAGACCCTGATAAATGACCTCTGGATGGGGGGTCTTAGAATGAGAAAGAACAGCAGTCTTAAGGTAAGGACAGTTATGATGTTGTGTAATTGTATTTCCCAAATTATTCTATTATATTAAAAAAAAAAGACCTATCTACAAGAAATTGGATTTTTTTTTCATATTAATGCCTTGGTCAGAGTTAATTTACAAATACAAATGAATTTTTGAAATTTGTATTGTAGGTGATTCTTGGGATCCTGATTCCCCCCTATGCAATGGCCCTTGAATTCAAGTCAAAGGAGGAGCTTCAACTGATGCCCCAGACTATGGAGGAGCACTTGGAGGAGCTGGAGGATGATGACAGTGATACAGAGGATCTCTCCTTCAGCTCCCTGGATGATGACAATGTGAATGAGGTACACCAAAGGGATAACTCTAATGCTCATCTACAAAACATCTCTAATATTTCTGATTGCATTTTCTTCATAAGCCTGTATTTTTTTTCTTCACTTGATTCATAGTCTACTGATTTTTTTTCTGCTAAATTTTATTTCATGCACTTTTTTAAAGTATAAAACTTTCCTTTTTTGTTGCATAGAGTTTTATTTCAGTTCATCCAATCTCCTATTTTCTTAGTACTCTGGTGTATACACCATTCCTACCTCCCACTCTGTGCCCCGCCTTAGTGTAAATGGACAGTCTAATGGCCAACTCAAACAGTCCTTAAGCAAATCAAAGGTGCCACACATAATATACAGAATTTTTATACAGCTTGACAGAAGGGGCAGGGAAATGTACATTTGTTATAAATGGAATTGGTTATGGTTGAATGTATTGTAACAGAAAACATATATTCAGTAATAGCATGAGATGAGAATACATCATTGTAAAGGCTGATAAAGGGAGCTAACTGCAATGATTTTAAGCTGAATGCATGTTGACCATACATGATCATGAGAAGCTTTTAATGTACAACAACTTGTGATTCATTTCTTCTTTAAACTTCCCTGGCAATGGTATTTTAACTATTTCAAAATTGATAAATCAATTATTTATCATTTAAATGCATTGACTTAGTATTTTACAGTGGTATACATAGCTTTCAAATTTTAAAATTAACATTGGTTAGATTAATGCATGTTTATATAAACAAATCTGAATATATTTCTTTCATTAATCATAATATCTTCAGTTCAGAATTTAAATTAAATGTTTCAACACTACTTTAAGTTAATATTTGATTCATATGAAGTACATATCTTTATGATGTGGAATGACAAGTTTTCAATCCTGATGGTTTAACCAGGTTTCATTATTTGACAGAGTATGTTTTGTGATGATATGAATGTGGAGACAGCTCAAATTAAGGTTCAAGAGAATGGAAGCTGCCCTGTGGACAACAACAGCACGCTGGAGTACTCTCAATTACAGAGCAAGAAAAAGAAGAGTCCACTCAGACTCGGAAAGAAAATCTACGAGTTCTACAACTCACCCATCACCAAGTTCTGGTTCTACACAGTGAGTACAGAATCTGCTTTGACATAGGCCTAGTTGCAATAAAAGATTAGCAATTCTGATTCTCCTTCAGATATCAAAAATAAAATTATCTGAAGTTGTATTAGTATTTTATAACTATGTAAGACAGATTTTTTTCTAAAAATATTTTTATATTATCACTTTCCAGTTCAACATATTAAAGAACAAGTTCCTTAATATAAAAAAAGTGGTGAAATATTTGAATAACTTAATAATTGTTCATTTATTTAAACAATTATGTTGAGGTAACAAAATGGGGCATTTCTTTTTCATCCATTGTCTCTGTTATAGATGACCTACTTTGCATTCCTGGCCGCCTACACATATGTGGTGCTAGTGAAGACCTACCCAGAGCCCCACTGGCCCGAGATCTTTTTAATGACCTATGTGTTCTCCTTGGCTACTGAAAAGTTTAGACAAGTAAGCATTTTTTTCTCTACATGGTCATACTATTCACACGTACTGGAATGTTTCAGAATCAAAACAAAACCATCATCTGTGTTGGATATGTGATGCAGTATAAAATAATTTCTTTCTTAAAAAGCATACAATTAACAGCTAGCTTATGAGCAGTAAGTCAATGAATTTATACTGCTTTATGACAGTCAATGCATTTGCTTTTCATTAAGTCTCCTGTGAGGTCATTATATATATATATCTTAGTTCTGATATTTTCTTTGTAGGATAAAATAGCAAGCTTTCTGCAGTAATATTTTAATTCAAGTTATTTTGATTAGATTTTCATTAAGGAGAGGGTATATATGGGCTTTGCCTGCTTCCCAATCTTTATTGAATTTACTAAATAAAATATTTTTGAATTAAAGTTATTTTGATCTTTCGACGCTAATAGAACTTATCCCAGTAAAAGCTACATTCATTTTGCCTTTTCCTTACTGTAATTAATTATTTCTAAATTAAATATCAATGAAATTGTCACTTACCACATTTTCCTCTCCTCCTCCAGAACCACTTGATCAATTTTAACCAAACTTGCCTCAAACCATTCTCTGGTGATGGGAATTCATGTTGAAATCAGAAGCTGCCTCCTTTTCAAGGGGAGATAATCAAAAAATAAAGATAGGGTGGGTTCTTACAAACCACCGGGTCACAAAAGACAAAAGTTCTATGCAAGTTTCCTGATAGAGTAAGAAAAAAAAAACTTTAAAAATCTTCCTCTCAAGAAAAACATGGCCACAACTAGTCATGTAAACCTTAATTCTTTTAAAACAAGATTTTCATCAACCCTTTTTAGTGTGGATTGAGTAAAAGCTTGTGGATCAGTGATTGTAGGTGTTTGGCTAGTAACTGAAAGATTGCTAGTTCAAATTCCACTGTGAGCACTTGATGTGTGTTGTGTAAACTTCCAAGTTTTATATACAGTACATGTATTTTAGTAGGAGATTGCTTATATAACACATCTTTCTAATTTAAGAGCACCCAAGATTAAGTACATATTAATCTGCATTAAGGATGCTTATTAGAGACTCTCACTAACAGTAGTGCTTACTGGGGCAAGAATGATTATTTTGTTGAATAAAATGTTTGTCATAAAATAGGAAAGGGGCAGTATGAATGTATGAGTACAAAATACTCAAAATTCAGAAAGCTTGTGGTTCATGTTTTGTGACTAGGCTGTTCAGTTCATCAGGTTTAGATTTCTACTTTCCAAAGATGACCAGAATCAGCCCATGTCAGATTGTGTAAAAGATTGTACTAGTATCTAAAAATCAATAATGGTATTTAAGAAGTATTAGGGATGCCATTTGTGGATAATAAAAGAGTGTTCTTTTCCGTTAACCATCTATTAATACTGGTAGAAACTACACAAGGGAAAGAAAAGAGCGGGGGGAATGCACTAAATCAGCTGTCCAATTCTGTTTTTTTATTCAATAAAATCTAGTTTGAATTATAATTAGAAAATTGATCATTATATTGAGTGCACAAAAAATTAAAAGAAATCCTAGTAATGTAGGTCAGTATTGATTTCTTTTTTCACAAATCAAAATAATTCATTTAGGAAATTTTAAGATGTCCTTTTACTTAATCAAGTAATAAAACCAAAGGGTGTAGATAGCATGTATGCATTCTATTTATGCTCAGAACAAAAACTGAAATTGTGAAAGCTTGATGTAGTAAAAAGCTCAACAGCTTTCAAGAAACTGGCATAAAATTACATATAGATGTTCTTCCCAACAATTGCTCATTTCCTATCAAGCACCCGGCCACTCCCATAATTTTTCTGTGTTTATAAGCGTTCCGCCTTTGGCTTAAGATAACTTTTCAGATTATTAAAATTTAAAAAGGATTTTTTCATGCGTAATACAGAGGGGGATGAAACTTAATCTGTGCTACTTGTATATGACTCAGTGATCTTAATGTATTACTCACCTCTTTTTGCGACATATAGGCAGCTATGAAAAGTGCCCAATTTTGTTACTTTTTTTAAGCACCATGGAAACAATTTTGTCCAAACTTGGCATATTTCTTCATTAATATCTTTACCATCTAACACTTAATATTGAAATCATAATTATTTGAGTAAAAAAAAATGATAATAATTTCATAAATAAGTAACTCTAATGAATTTCAAATTACTGTGGAATATCATTTCAATTGGTGGGGTTGACTCATCATGGGCAACCAAAATTTTAGTGGTTCTTGGATACACAATTTTTGGAGTAACTTGTATATACAGAAAACTTGAATAGATACATTAACAAAGCTTATATAGTATTGTTCATGGGGATGTAAATTCATGCTCTTTGGATAAGGGTGGCCCACAAAATCCACAAACATTGGTCCCCCACAAACAATGATGATTCCACAGTTTTTAAAAAAAATTATCAAATTTTTATACCCCCACTCTGAAGGAGAGGGGGGGGGGGGTATAGTGTTTTACCCTTGTGCATCTGTCTGTGTGTCTGTAACAAATTTTCATCACAGTTTTCTCAGCAACTACTCATCGCAGATGCTTGAAATTTTAGCACAATCTTTGTCTAGGCATGCCATATGGTGGGATTCATTTTTGTACAAATCTAATTCCAACTGCCTGTTTATCTGTGCATCTGTCCATACCAAATTTTAGTGTCTCTCCGTAACAAATTTTCGTCACTGTGAGTTTTCTCAGCAACTGCTCATTGCAAATGCTTGAAATTTTAGCACAATCTAACACACTCTTTCAGTTTAGGCATGCCATATGGTGGGATTCATGAGAGCATATATTAACATCAGAGTGGGAGTATTACTAGTGAGCATTGGCTCACAGACTTCTTGTTTTTTTTTTTTTTTATTGTGGATTTTCTCTAAAAGAACCTTTTATATCCTTTGTTTATGAAAATATCTTTAAGTTAAGCAATTGACAGCTTAGTCAAACATTAGTTTTGAAATTCAACAAGTATTTGATAAAACATTGTTAAAGCATGTCTTTTACAAAATATTGATCTGTTGATGGGGTCATTTGGTGGAGAGTTTCTTAATGTAATGAAACCTCAGATGTCATATCCATTGAAGAAGCTATTGGAGTGCTAACATCATCCCTGTATTCTCTATGAAGGATTATCGTAATTAAGATACAACACATCAGACTTATTGAACTTTAGGTTACACTCCCATCAAATTAGAGCCTGACAATGACTGGTGTGTGTGTGTGTTTATATATATATATATATACCGGTATATATATATATATATATATATATATATATATATATATATATATATATATATATATATATATATATATATATATAAGCATGTTTTAAATATATTTCAGAGGGTTTTTTCCCATTTACAAAAAAAAAAATAAACATAACAACAGGTTTGTCAGTCTGGTATTGCACACATCTCAAAATCATCATTAAAATTTCAAAAGTGAAATCAGTAAGCTTCCAGTTTAATAATTAATTCAATTTATAATGAGCATTAATTTTTGAAAGAAGAACTAAATGGTTATAAACAATCCTTTCAAGCAAAAACAGTCATCAAACAATCCAGGAGGGATTGCATTCATGTATCACTAATTATGACCCACAAGCCTTGATGATGGCTTGTCAAGTATAAATTTGCTTGATTTATTAAAGGACAAAAAATTATTGGGACCAATGCGGAACTTTGACAGATAACAGAAAATTCAGAAGATTGAAGTTTGTGCCATCTTGAGTCACCAGTATATATGAATCTCGATGTTATTTCATTTGCCTTACTACTGTATATAATCCATAATTCTAAGCTGGAAGGAGTCGTAATTCTTGACAAGTTGTCAAGAAGGCTATTTATATATTATGGTCATTCTATGAATATTCATTTTGATTACCTGTTACATAACCTAGCTTGCATTATACACTTGCTGTAATTTTGAGAGAGAACACTGTATAAAAATCTTACTGTAGGAACAGAAACATTTTAACAGAGATAAGTTGTCTAAAACTTTTGGACAGATGTAAAGATCAAAAGAATTCCAGAATGATTTTTTTGTCCAGACCATATCTATAAGTAATATAGGAAATTCGGGTGTTTTTTAGCTGAGGGTATTTAATCATAGAGTAGACAAGCTTGACTTTACTCTGATTATTAAAGAGATTTTATTGAATGTTCAGTATGCTTTATTGAATGATTTCACAACAAAATGCACTCTAATAAAACACTTTTTAATCAATATAATGTATCACTTTTTAATCAATATAAAGTATCAGTAATGTCAAAAACTTCCGGATTGAAGCAGTAAAATTTGTAATTTCTCTAAGGCTTTTATCGTTCTTGTACATGCTATATATATAAGTACATTAATCAGAAACTTTTGGACTTTTGTTTATAAAGAAATTTATAGTGGAGAATTTAGAATGTTCAAACAATAAGTTGTTACAGTAGCTTAAATTACCACGTATGATTGAAAAATGAAGATAAAATTGCATATTGATATCCACACTTAAAATGCATTGCATCTTAAGAAAAAATACTAGAAATGTATTTCATGCAAAGGTGGCCATCTCAGTTTGAGGTGTGCTGACGAGAGGAAAAGAACTTTCCTGGCCAGAACCACTCCCACTGGATTTAAAGGTCAGTCTTGGTTTGGGCTGTTGTTTTCTAAGGTGAACACGACAAAGAAAACGCCTCAGTTCCATCCTGAATCTCTGCCCTGTAAGTCCGTAGATGAAGAAATTCACAGCATGGTTAATGTACATTAGCATAAAGCAGAGGGTTCGGACAAAGACTGCTTCTGCTTGTTTTTCTATATTTTTTGGTTTCTCCATAAAGAATCGGTAAAGCGGTCGAGGCATAGTTGTGACGATCCAAGTGAAGGAAATGACAAGTAAACAGATAGCTAGTTTTTGGTGATCATAGCGCATCTGTTGGTCAGTTTTAGTCATGGCTTGAAACAAGGGTTTGTTCTTGACAAGGCTTACAATAATCAAAGTGTTGAATAAAAACAATACTAACACAGGGAGGAAGGAGTACAAAATAAGATATATCCAAGGAAAGACTTTACAGACAAGGTTCTCATAAGCATAGGACATACATCTAACCTGACCACTAGGTAATGAGTAAAGTTCAGCTGTCCAGAATATATGACTGTTGATTAAGATGAAGATCATAGCAATTATGACTGTGACAAATTTTGCCCTAGCCAAACTGCACATTGTTGTGGCTCGGAGGGGAAACCACACTGCCAAAAAGCGCTCTACTGTAACGGCAACAATCAGCCAGGCAGAGAAGTGGACAAAGAAATGGGTTAGAAAAATCAAGATCTTGCAGGCAGCATCACTCTGGTGAAGTAGCTCATATCCAGTTAGTACTGTTATCCATGTTTTGAATGCGCTGATGTATAAAACTCCAGTGTCAGCCACAGCTAGAGTGGCCAAGTAGAAAAATGTAGATGTCTGTCTCATTTCTCTTTGTACCATGATCAAAAAACTCATTACATTTCCAAATGTTCCAACAAATATGATGATGGGCAGCACATACCTTATCAAATCTATGGCCAGAGCATAGAAAGGCTCAGATTCCAAGTCCCCTGGAAAGTAAGGTTTGGTTCCATTTAATTTTCCTGTCAGGTTTGCTGTGAATGATACTGTGTCATTCAAAATGGTCTCCATAATGGCAGAGTAGACTTTTCTTTCAACAATCTATTTGTTGATGCTGCATTAAGTCTTTGAAATAATTTGTGCAAAAAATCGTTCCTCATTAAATACTGAAGTTCTGATAATAATTTCAATCTTTAGAATCCATATTTTCATATAAGGTAGATCCATTTCTTCCAGATCAACAGTTTTCAGATACTTCAAACAAAGTCATTACGAAAAACAACACTCCAAACACTTAAAAAATTTTCGAAAGTGAGAATTTGACTAACAATTCCTGTCAACTCCTACGACTGTGTTAAATGCACTGGTGGTCTTAGAATATTGGTAAAGATTAGCTTTCCAAGTCCACTGCAAATACAGTGGATAGTTGCTGATTTGTCTTTGTTTATCTTCAATATCCAGGCTTTTAAGTCATTTCAGTTTCCAATAGCAGTTGGCAGCGGCACAGTATAAATCTTCAAACAAATTTTAATTTTATAGTACTGATCATTAAATTGATAATAATACAGAAAAACTTACTATTGTCCTGTTATCTATTCATAACTTTCTCTATAAATTTATTTTCAATAAAAGTAATTTAGAAATGGAAGTTATTGATTCCAGATTGTACTGTAGTATATGAAATTTAGATGGATATTTATTGAATCTGACCTTTGTACTTGTGTTAATTGTAGATATTTATTATGGATTTGCTCTGTTTTTACGCCCCCGTATCGAAGATTCGGGGGTATATAGTTTTTGCCCTGTCCATCCGTCTGTCTGTCTGTTTGTGAGCAAAAGCTTTTAACCTTGCCCATAACTTTTGATTGGTTGGAGCTATGGCTTTCATATTTCACATGTGTATTCCTTGTGACAAGACCTTTCTTTGGGTTCCACCATATTTGACCTTTTGACCTTGACCTTGGAGTTTGACCCAGTTTTGCAAAATTTTACTAAAGTTTAACCTTGGCCATAACTTTTGAATGATTAGAGCTTGGGCTTTCTTACTTCACATGTGTATTCCTTGTGACAAGACCTTTCTTTTGGTACCACCATATTTGACCTTTTGACCTTGACCTTGGAGTTTGACCCAGTTTTGCAAAATTTTACTGAAGTTTAACCTTGGCCATAACTTTTGAATGGTTAGAGCTTGGGCTTTCATACTTCACATGTGTAATCCTTGTGACAAAACCTTCCTTTGGATACCAACAACTTTGACCCTTTGACCTTGACCTAGGAGTTGGACTTACTTTTGAAAAAAAATTAACTTTGGCCATAACTTCTTAATGGTTGGTGCTAGGGCTTTCATATTTCACAGGTGTAATCCTTGTGATAAGACTTTCCTTTGAATACCAACAACTTTGACCCTTTGATCTTGACCTAGGAGTTTGACCTACCTTTGAAAAACTTGAACCTTGGTCATTACTTTTGAATGATTGGTGCTTCGGCTTTCATATTTCACCTGTGCATTTCTTGGGAAAAGGCCTTTCCTTGGGCACCAATAATTTTGACCATTTGACCTTGACCTTGATGTTTGACATACTTTTGAAAAAACGTTAACCTTCACCATATCTATTCAATGGTTGCTGCTGGGGCTTTCATATTTCACAGGTATATTTCTCGAGACAAGACCTTACTTTTGTTACCAACATATTTGATTTGCATTTGAGAAAGTTTAGACTTTGATATAAGTTGCCATACAGGGGCATCAGTGTTTCACAAACACATCTTGTACTTTTTTGCATTTTAAATTGTCAAAATTTACCCATTTTTTATTCCCCACCATAAATATGACATATAGTGGTTGCCATGTCCATCTTCTGTCCTGTCCTTCTGTCCTTCCATCTATCCATATATACTTTCATCACACTTTGTGTTTTTTTCAGTTTTAAAGAAACTATTCAAAATATTTTCATCAATTTTCATATGCTGATACATATACTGATATAAACTATTCAACTGCATTAATATTTTGTTACCTTGACCTTTCCTTTGAACTTGACCTTACTTTTCTTAAATTAGTGTTAACTTCAAAGAAACTATTCAAGGTATTCTTATCAAACCCTCTATGATGATACATATTGATAAGAGCAATTCAACTGCAGCAACATTTTTTGACCTTGACATTTCCTTTGACGTTGACCTAACTTTTTTAAATTAGTGTTAAGCTCAGTTTTGAAGAAACCATTCAAGATATTGTTATCAAACTTCATTTGCTGATACATAGTGAGAGCTATTTAACTGCATCAAACACCTTTGACCTTGAACTTTCCTGTGACTTTGACCACATTTTTCTTAAATTTGCAATTTGCTTTATTTCAAAGAAACTATTCAAGATAATTTTTATGTAAGTGTATTCACTGATACATAATTTGGTGAGAATTTTTCAACTATATCCTTTTTGTTTCCTTGACCTACCCATTGACCTTTGACTTTATTTTTTATTGTCTATAAAACTCAGTTTTAAAGAAACTATCCATTGGCAAGATATTTTCATCAAACTTCATACACTAATACACATTTTATGTTGCATTACTAACCCTTGGCAGGGTATTCATGTCCTATGGACATTTTTCTAGTTCTTTTATCTCCTTTTAGGTGTATATTATTTTTGGTTGGGATGTTTGAGTGTCTTTCTTTTAAAACTTTGATGTTGACCATTTAGATATGTGAAAAATATAATATTTCATGAGGATCATTTAGAATTTAGGTCTTAGCCAAGAGTCAACTGGAATGCTGACATCATAAGATTTTGCCATGGCAGCCTGACAGTGTGTTTCCAATACACATTTTGTTTAAATGTTGCATTTGTATCAAAGACATTTCAGGATTTTTATAAAATTGCAAGATTCAGAAAGAAGTGTACACTAACAGAAATTTTGACCAAAGTATTTTGTTAGGGTTAACAGCATGACCTAAAGATTTTCCATAGAAAAAAAATACCTTCGTTGAAACAATCATTTTAGAGTTAATCAATTATGATTGTTGGGGAACCATTTTCACAGGCAAAAATCTAAATCTGTTGAATTCATATGAAAACAATAAATATTGACTATTCCTGAGCAGATGTCTAGATGAAGTGGTGTAAATCACATTAATCCTAATTTCAACAGTTTTAAATAGAGTTCCTTCCATTACAGGTTTTCTTAATGATTCCACCAAAATAGTAGGAGTTGTAGGGGTTGGTCCATCTGCGTGTATGTCACAAATTTTTTCCAAGGTATGATGTAACACTTGAAATGGAATGAAATCCTCCAGGGAGTGCAGATTCATTGTTCAAATCACAGCTCCAGGGATTGGTCGAGCCATACTAGGGAATCAAATTTTACATGGAATATATATAGAAAAAGAACTTAAAAATCACTGGGACTCAGGGTTAGGGTAGGGCTTTAATCAGGGATCAAATTTTACATATGGCATGTATACAGAAAAAAAAAATCATTGAAGAATCTTCTTCTCCAGAACTACAATGCCATGTTAGCAATATTAATACCATATAATGGGTATTTTCTGCAGTTGGAAATTTTTGTGACTAAACCCCTGAAAGGTAGCAAATTTATTTCTGCTTTTTTGATTTCTGTGATTACATTATGCCACAAAAATTTATTTAGAATACCGTGTAGAGTAAGAAGGTATGAAATAACATTAAAACAGGTTGATTGACATACGCACCACTTTACAGACTTGCATGTACTGAGGATCTAAATTTTTATGAAAGCATCCTCAAGTAGTGTAGAATCAAGTTTGTAAAATCATATCCCCTGGTGGTAGGGTGGGACCACAGATGAGGATCAAAGTACACCTGGAAATATATAGGAAGAAATTTTTCAAAATCTGATGATGAAGAACAGCAGGTCTATACTTACAGTCATATTGATATGGAAGCATTCTCAGCTGGTAATGCCAGTTTAATTTTTTTTTTAATCATTCCCCTGGGGATAGGGTGGGACCACAGTAAGAGATCAATGTTTTAAAGGAAATATATAGGAACATTTTTTAAAAATCTCTTTCTCAGTTACAGCAGGGCCATGATTAGTCATATAAATATGAAAGCATCCTCAGGTAAGACAGATTCAAATTTTTTCCAATCATGCTCACCTTTGGAAAATGGGTTCACAATTAGGGATAAAAATTTTATGCAGGAGTACATAGGGAAAAGAAAAATCATTAAAAATTTTCTCAAGAACAGCAGATCCAGGTTGGTCTTATTGACATGGAAGCATCTTCCTGTAGTGCAGATTCAAGTTTGTTTAAATCATGACCCCCATGGATAGGTTGGGGCCATAAGAGGAAGGGATAAAAATTTTACTTGGAAATATGTCGGGAAAATATTTGAAATTCTTCTTGAGAATAGCTTGGTCATGATATGTGCTAGCATCCTCAGGTAATGCAGATTCAAGTTTGTTCAAACATGGTCCTGAGGGAGAGTGGGGCCACAATTGGGGATAAATAAAGGAATGGGGGGGGAATCTTTAAATTGTTTGCATGAGGGTTGGAAGTGTCATATACACTGTAACTGTATTGAAATTTATTATTATCAGCTGCAGGAGCAGGCCGGACAATATATTTTAGGTTGTGTTAGAATGTGCACATGGGGAAATGAGTCATTAATTTTTTAGTGGTTTGATGGAATAATTTCTTTTTGATAACTTGCATAAAAATTATGAATAAAACTGAGAGAATTTTTTTTTAATGCTAAGTCTAAATGGTTGTAATTACATTTCAATTTATTTTTTGATTTTTATGAAAAGTTGTTACATGAACTGCTCCCCAACATGGGGAGTGTGTATAAGAAATAAATACGAAACATAATGAGTTTCCAGATATTAATTACAGTGACAAAATGATTAATAAATATTGAAAAATTTTAGATGTAAATACACTACAGTTGCAAATGTCACAATGATATTTTTTTCTGCACTTCACATTTATTGTGATACATGTCTATTACAATGAAAAAATTGGCATTAAATTATCACATGACAAAGATCTGGGGTAACAGCAGTTGAAAAATCTGTACTTAATTCCTTTTTGTCAGAAATCAATGAAACATTCATCATTATAATTTTAGATATATTTTCAGTTCTACTTGTCTTCTTCATCTTGTAACAACTGATTTGATGATGATTTTATCCAATCTTTTATCTCCAATTTCAATATTCATGACTTAATTTAGTTTTGATTAATAGTTACTTAGCCATTCATTGAAAATTAAAGTATTTTAATAAAGTATAGAAAAGTAAACTAAGTGAGCAGTTTTGCAGTTTTGTCGTAAACCTCCTTTACTTAAAATTTATTTTCCTTGGACTTTCATTTGGAAATACAGTTGAACTTTGGTATCTTGAACACTGATATCTTGAGTACCATGGATATGTCAGTGATTTGGAAATCCGAAGCCATATATTCTCTCAAGTATTTTACACCTGATATTTTGAATCCTCAGATATCTTAAAGTTTTTCTCAGGTCCATCGAGTTCAAGATAATGAGGTTTGACTGTACTTTGAAATGCAAAACATTTTTGCAGCTGATTTGATGTTTGGTGCATCAACTTGTACAATGTTCTCTATTTGATTTACTTATGAGTTTATAGGAGCATGCTGCATAAATATGATAATGTTATCAAACTGTAAAATGTATGTAAGACTAGTCTTATAGCCAGTATCAGATTGGCCCAAAGTGAACTCACAATAATCAGGTGCTTGTTAAGGCCCATGGGCCTGTTTTTATTGGGAGGGGGTGTTTTTTTGTTTTGTTTTTTTAAATAAATGAATGGTTTTTATACATGAAACTTGGATGTAGTTTTTTTGCTGTTGAATTTATTATTTCCCAAATACTTCTTCACTCCAAAGTAAGACTTCAAGGGGGATATCTATGTATATAAATATGATAAATATTTATATATATATTGGCAGGTATTTGATTGACTTTGTTTATGAGATGCTGCTTGCTGCTCTATCTCTCTGTCAGCTTGATATTGAGGTTAGATATTAGTCAGTTAGATATTGAGGTTGATGGATGAACCCTGAGAGTATTATACTTTCGTTCAGTATCAAATAACATCATTTAAATTAATTGATTTTTACTTCTATTATAATTCCTATATATTGGTTTTTAAGATAAACATTGAAGAAGTGTCAAACAAACTTAGGTAATAATAAAAAACCAAAAAAGGGCCACTTTTATGATGATTCATGTACAAGTATCTTATATGTTTTGTGTAAGAGTATGATGTCAGAATAAAGGGGAGTAGGTGTAGAGAATTCGATCCCTTGATGGACCCTAAAAGCATACTGTTTGTATAAGAAGTTATCCTGTGTATTTTAGCTGATGCACTATTGTCCAGATGGGAGAAAATGAATGTTTTGGAACATTCCCATATAAAAGGTTTACAGACAAGTAATCCATACTTGACCAATATCTTACTAGCGAGAGGTTGTTTTTCTGTGTGAAGATGTCTATGATGTCACCAAACTATTTTCCATGATGTATCTTATGTCAAAATATTTGATTTTATAAGTTTGTGAAACTTATCCATATTCTCCAAAATGAAATATACATTTTGAATTATGTACTAGTAATGAATATTGATTTATAAAGTTGTATTTGGTGGTTGAGAAAAAAAGCTCCTATTGCATAAAAGGATTGCTTAATTTTGTCTGCATGATTGTTGTAGGATATCATATATGTATAACTTCTTTGAAAAAAAATTGTATCTGCTATTTACTGAAAGAATTATTGATCAAGTTATATATATAATTAAAAAAAAGCCCTTCATGAAAATTGTGGATTTCCTGAGCCCTGAGTGTGACTAAAATGGGTAGTAAAAGCCGGGCTTGGCTGGGAATTTGGAAGCTGAAAACTGGGTTTTTGCTAATTACTCAAAAAATACTTATTTATTTGTCATGAAACTTACAGATTTAGTTCATTACAACAAAATATACCTTCACTGAGAATTTCAGATCCAAATTTTACGTTATTTAATGATTATCACCATTCATCATTTTCCCAGTGACTAAAATGGGTAGTAAACCCAGTTTACATATTTTGATGTTTTTTACTTAATATTGATGAAATAATTGCAGTTTTGTGTAATGGATCGATGAAAATTGGCTTAAAATACCAACAAATTATGACCATTTTATAAAAATTTACCGATTGTTGAAAATAAATGCATTTATGCAGTCATCTGACAGCAATATTTTGGAATATTCCTGTTTGGCTTGGGCAAACACATCCAGTTTTGACCTGTCCTGGCTTTTAAAAATTGCCGATTATTTTAACTATTGATATTTATTTTCGCATAGTCATAAAATTTAAGTTCTTAAAGTTAATAAACAATGATAAATCACAAAGGAATCCCATTTTCTGCGTGCAACTTGCATTAAATCACTAAAATGAATAAACCAGGTTTACTACCCATTTCAGTCACCAGGAAAATGACAGTCGTTAATAATCACTGAAAAACATGACTCAGGTGAGTATTGTTACCAATGGACCTCTTGTTGTAATATACCTTGGAATTTTTTACAGAATTGAACATAAAATAAGAAATTGTTAGGGTAATTAAATTATAGCAAAGAAACTTGTGGAACTTGTACATGACATCCTAGAAACATTATTGAACCAGGCTCCGTGTGACTGATAAAGTTGAAGTATTTGTAAGAGCTTTCCTCATTCTTTGAGGAATTGTCTTCTGTTATATAGAGAAGTGTGTTATAAATGATTAAATGATTGTCAGCTATGGATGTAAAGATACGTCATATATGACTAAACAGCGTATTTGTTATTTTCAAAATCGTTCGAGTCATGAAAATAAACAATTTAGTGTGTTATTGAGAACATCCTGTCAGTGTTAATATGATACATGTACTAGTATTGATTTGTTCAGTATCTCAACCTGTTCTTACTTGTACCTGAATTTTAGTAAAAGAAGAAAATAAAGTGATTAAAAATTCTCCAGAAAGCTTGGTTTATTAGGGAGTGCATGTGGGCATTTTGATTTTAATTACATAGGAAAAAAGCATTTTAAAATTCTCCAGGTTTAGTTTAGTACATAAAAATTATTTTAATTAAATTTGCAATAATATTTTTTTTAGATTGTGGCATCTGAACCTGTTAAGTGCAGTCTGAAGTTACGTGTGTTCTTTAGTCAGTACTGGAATATCTGGGACATGGTGGCCATTTTGATGTTTTCTACAGCAGTTGGTCTTCGAATGTTTGATGAAACAAGAAAAGCAGCTCGCATTATCTACACATTAAACATAGTGTTCTTCTACATACGAATACTAGAAATTCTGTCAGTTAACCAGTACCTGGGACCATATGTCAAGATCATTGGCAAGCTGGTGAGTATTCACTAAGTCACTTAAACAAGAAATAGTCAAATAGTCTTAATGCATTTTGATGCATTGAGATGCATTTTAGGGGGAAGGTGTGTCAAAACCCAAAAGTAGACACTGGGGGCTGGCGGATATTTGAATATTATGGTTGTACATAGTCAAATAGTTATAGACATCCATAGCATGCACACCAATCATTCACTTTATTTTATTTTTGAACAACAAATAAAATCTCATTCTTTATATCTATTTTAAATTCTTAGAAAAAGAAATCGTACCAGTACATGTACCATATATTTATTTTTTTTAAAAAAGTGTATCTCCTCCTTAATGAATTTAATTACTGCTTGGTGTGTACTCGTAATTTCTCTTCATTGCTCCAACACTAATTCTTGTCTTTCAGCTGAGGGACATGTCCTATTTCCTGATCATCATGTTGTTGGTCGTGATGAGTTTTGGAATCATCCGTCAGGCAGTACATTTCCAGAACGAGGAACCATCTTGGTTCCTTGTCAGAAACATGTTCTTTTACCCTTATTGGATGATCTATGGAGAATTGTTTGCAGATGAAATAGATAGTAAGTCTTGGTTTTGACTTTACATCAAGTGTAACATTTGTTGTTTTATAAAACCTCTTGTCTCAAATTGTTAATCTTTATACATACTAGGTTATTTAAAATATATGTCTTACAGATTTTTTTTTCAAGCAATATTTAAGGTGATTTCTTTCAGAAATTAAAAAAAAATCCATATAGATTATGGAAGAGGCCAAACAAATATTGTACACTAAAACCACTGAATTGTTTCAGCCTGTACAGATCCTGAACGTCACCCCAATGGCTGTGTATATGGGTCTTGGGTTGCCCCTGCCTGTATGTTTGTTTTCCTCCTCATGTCCAATGTACTTTTGGTTAACCTACTTATTGCCAGATTCAAGTAAGTTCCAAACTGTACTTTGACTTATTGGTTCACTTATTTTTTAACCCAAAAAAGTTCACTTACAAAATAATTGTTTCAAATTGTGATAAAATTTTAAAATTGTATTTTCAGTGCCACTTTCATAAGAAACAATGCCAAATCTCGGGAAATTTGGAAATTCCAACGATATCAGTTGATTGTGAAATATGAAATGCGCCCAATCTTGCCTCCACCTTTCACAATTATCAGCCACATTTACCTCACATTCAAGTACATCATTCGTCGCTGCAAAGGAAAGAGGGATTTTTTTGACAACGGGCTGAGTATGTATTTTTTTTATTCGGGGGGGGGGGGGGGGGGGGGGGGCATAGGGTTGGCTAGATATGTATGTGTAAAGTAGGTCTGTTGTACCAGATTTTAAAATTACACCAATAAAGTTTAAAAAGTATGGATACATACTAAATATGAAAATTAAAAATATTACATGCTAGACCAAATTGTTTATCTCTTGTATTATTCTCTAGGAATGTGATCTTTGGATCTATAAAAATGGCAGCTAAAGATGGCATGTAGTAGGGGCATTCATGTTTAAAACTTCATGAAGCTACTAGATGTTGTCTTAAAAGGAAAGAATAAGCTGAGGGTTTTGTTGTTTGTGTTGGAAATATACATGTAAGTTGTTAAAAAGGACTAATAACTAAGTGAATGCAGTGTATAGCCAGATATTTTTTTCTTTCTTGCAGAGCTGTTCCTGTCTCCTGATGATAAGGAGAAACTTCACGATTTCGAGGAAGAGTGTGTAGAAGACTACTTCCGTTACAAGGATTACAAGTTCCAGTCTTCCTCAGATGAACGAATCAGGGTCATTAATGAGAGGTAATGTTTTATGATTTTAACAAATTTTGTCAATTTAGAGTCATCACATTTGCTTAAAAAGTAATGTTTTATAATATACATATATTAATAAATAGTTTGTCACTGATTCTAGATACTAGGTATTTACTTGTAATTTACCCTCTTTAACAAATGGTTTTTGTCACATTTTTTGGTTGGTATTACCTGTTGGTTGAGAATTTAATTAGGGATTAGTTTCTTGATATGAATATGATAAACAGCTTGATTGCTAAAGAGAAGTGTTTATATTGGAGATAATTTATTTTACCGAGACACATCTGTTTCATATTTGGATATTTTACTAGAGAAGACATTAATGGCAAACTAACAATAAACTTAATGATAATTGCGATGTCTTCAAGTTTTCCATTGTCAAACTTCCCTTATTATGTAGCCATACACCATTATCACCTGCAGTATGGAGTATATGTCTCCCAGTTAATTTGATATGCTGAAGCATGTTCTACATACAAATAATTTCTAAAAGGAGGCAAGCTATTGACAAATAAGTTGATGATACAAGGATATCAGTAGTCTCATTAAAAGTTGATATTTTGCAAATTCTATGGTCGATATGACCTTGTTAGCAAATCTAATCTAGCATTAAGTTGAGTGTTGATTGACATTTTTCATACGAATTGTTAGACCATTTTTTCACACTGAATTGTCTACGGATTTTTCCATTTACCCGATCATAAAAAAGGAGCATGCGGTGGGTGTGACCAGTTGACAGGGGATGACTCCTCCATGGAACCTGATCCCACCTATGATGTTTTTAGGGGTTCTTGTTTGCCCAATTTGTATTGTTCTAATCAACCTCTAAGCTTGATTACTGTTTGTTTTCTTCATATTTCATCAGATTAAATGTATTTTGCAGAGTTGAAAACATGGCAATGAGAATGGACGATGTCAACCAGAAGGAGAACTCCATCAAGCTTTCTCTACAGACTGTAGATTACAGAATGTCTAAGCTGGAGGAGGTAGCTCTGCAAACAAATGAAACACTGGCCCTGCTGAAAAACTACCTCTCTAGAAACGTCAGACATTTCAGCGGCGGATCTGTCGGGAGTCAGGTTCATGAGCCTAGCTTGGTGAGCCAGGATTCCTTCATGGAAAATGATATTGTAATGTACGAGTCAGATTCCCCAGCAAAAATTGATCCTGATCAGGACACGGTACCACTGACAACTCCTGTTTTCACTTTGGGCAAGGATTCTCCTAGTCCCACCATGCACAATGAATCTAATTCCACTATGAGAAGCATTCCATCACCATTATTAGTTCATACTAAAAATCCAGTCAAGGAAGAACAGTTGAAAAAGTTTACAGACTACTCCAAACAACAGGCCAACCCAGCCAGAAGGAAGTCACTGGAATACAATCTGAGCATAAAAGGCAAGAAATTGCTTCCTCAATTACAGGAATCAAGTCCTATTATTGAATATGAAGAAGGCCTTCCATTAACCCAGCGCAGACATGTTCCTTCAGAATTAAATGTTAACATAGAGCTGGCTAATGCAGGTGTCCATGCTTCTGCTGCCACACATGTTCCTGATGCTGAAAAGAACAAAAATCAGTCAGCAGTGTACTCCACAGCAATCATTGCAGCAGAGACACACATGACCACTGGGATACCTGAGAACATCTCATACAATGATGCTGAGATGCAGATGAAGACAAATATTTCCCGTGCTCCCACTTCTCCCAGAATCTCCATTACATCTGCTGTTTATGGCAGTAGTAAAACAAATCTGCTAACACCTGCCTCAGTTTCTCAGATGACACCTATTCTCACTTCCATCAGTTCTGAATACACTACCATTACAGATGAAATAGACACTTCCTGTGTGGTGGATACAAGTCCTCCAGCAAGTCCCACATCTGCTGGGACATTTTTCGGGGAGGGAACAACTGATGGGGAGAAAAACAGGAAACAGTCTGAAGTAGTGATTGTGGAAAACGTAAGATTAAAAAATGCAGAGGAACTTCAGCATAAAAAGATGGAACGCATTATACAGCACCGTCTTCGTCAAATTTCTTTAGATGAAAGTGACAGGATCAGTGATATTGCGAAACTTGTGGTCAGTGAAATGGACACAGAAGGGGGGAGCACTTCAGGACAGGAAGAGGAAGAGGACTCTGAGGATATCCATGGATCAGTTGAGAGCCTGGTACCCAATCAAGTCATGTCAGACGTCATCGAGATCAAGATCAGAAGACCATCACAGGAAACAGAACCTAGAGTATAATGATGGCTCTGATTAGCTCCCAACTGCATTGCACTAATTCATGTATATAATCTAGTTTCTGTTTATACATGTAAAATGTGAATTCAGTTTATGCCAAGTATATACGTATATTTCAATTGTTTAGTAGTTCACAGATGAATAAGGGGGGAAAAATAATAGAACTAGAAATACCCCCCCCCCCCCCCAATTAAAAATTTGAAAATTTTGCATGTTGAAGCCATAGAAGACATACTTGTCATCATAAAAAAGAATACTGCATTCATATTATAAAATCAGTATTGAAATTTTTTTTTAAGAATTGCTTAGTAAGTTTATTTTCTATCTTATTTTCCATTTTATTTTAGTGAAATGACACCCCTTGTTCATTTTGAGGTCATCAGAATAGATGATGTGACATACTGCTATCCATGGCTGGTTGTAAACAGAAACATTTAAGCTTCTATTATGAAACTGTCGAGCCAATTCTTGTCATATTTGTAGTATTTAAGTATTATTCATGGATAAAGGGAAACAAAAAGTCCCTGTCCCCAAGGGGTCAGAGCAGGGGCATCATCTCAATTCCTTGACACCTTGCAGGCAAAATGAGCGACAAGCTCTCTATACCACAGTTATAAAATTCGTAGGTCTAGGGTCAGAATTGTGGGAGGGACTTGCAACAATGCAAATGAAATAAGGGGTTCACAGTTTTTTATGATGCATGACATCTACTAGATTATACTTCAAAGCTTCTGGGTTGAGCTGCAAGGGTCTTACAGCAATGTTCCATTGTCAGATTATTGTAGAAGAGAGTATGAAATACCGGTAATTCCTAGTGACAAGGAAACATTAGAGACTCCTTGTGAATGAAACATTTACTCCTGAAGAAAATTCATTGAGAATATCAATCCCATTAAGGTCACTGGAAGAAAAAACGTAAATTTTGTGTGGGCCAATTTTTTTTAACAGAGATGCATGAAAAACATGACTTTAAGGGGGCTCATGTCTTAGAGAGTACGTAGAAATATTCATGATATATTCAAGCGACCATCAAATCCTATGGGCTAAAATTGTAGAGAGGTGATGCTGTTTGTTTACACAGAATAAGTTTGTACAGTTTTTTCTTTTGATCAGGAGAGCTGCTGGCTACTGTATATTGGTTTTATGGGTGTGTATAGTGCATCTAAATTATATTGTTTTTAACCATCTGACTGTGATAATAATATCTTTGTCATGAAATAATATATGTATACACTACTGATTTTTACCTCTGTATTGTAAATTATTGTCCTGAAATATTTATTCTAATTAATACCATAACTTGTTCATTTATTATTTAAATAAATTCCAGATCACTTTTCTAAAAAATATTTCTTCATGTTGAAAATGATTCATTCTTGCTTATAATACAATTGCTTTAAAAAAATTTGCTCTACTTCATAAAATATTTTGTAGTAGACCTAGTATTCTGTTGGTCAATATAATCTGTTGTGGCTTATAATATAGAATTTTAAGGTCTTCATGCACTGCTGTGTGTCACTGTGACTTGCTGGACATATTTTCTTAAGGAATGCAACTTTTTAAACTGCTTTATGGCATATTTTTACAGATATGAATAATATGTATTTGCATTCAATACAATAATTGTAAATAGAGTGTATGTCTGTTTTTATTCTTGTTTTTATTATTTTGTTATGAGGATGTGTTCTTGTTATATTATATATATATTTGTATATGAATCAGATAAATGCCAAATACTTGTCTTTTCTGGTCAGAAATGTACGTTAATATTTGCGTACAATGAGTGCTTCATTTGATGCTAATTTGGAGTTTTGCATATTGAGTCAGATTGAATCTCTGCTTAAATAGCATAATAGATTTTAACTACCCTGCAAACAAAACAGATGTCAGCATTGGTGCCAAATTATTGTATAGTTTTTATGAACACTGCGGAAACAATGATGACTTGTTAGCATTTCAGAAATGAACAAGGTATTTTTTTCAATATTTTATTATTTACATTGTATTTGCAGTACTGAAATCTGGGAATATACAGTGTTCAGTGTATCATATAAAGGGTCATTTTGATAGTGCAGCATTTTGTCACCTTCTGTGGAATTTGCCATGAAACTTTGGGGGAATTTAATATGACTTAACAAGACTAAATATTTTGAATATGGATGATTTTAATTTGTGGATTCAGAATCACCCAAAGTATGCATCCCATCAAATTAACCCCATATAGAACTTTATTCATGACACCACAATAAAATTCAGGAAGAAATTAGCCTGCTGTATTCCTGTATGGTTCATGTTCATACAGATTTATTTTCATGTTATTGTGCTAAATATGTGATACACATGTATACACTAAGTGTTCAGCTTAACAACACAGTTGCTCTCGTAAAGTCAATGTTTTGGAAGAACCCAGATTGTTAGAATAAAATGATTATTACAAAAGCAGTAATAAAAATTTTAAAAGCAACTACTTTCTTCTCTTTTAAATTTGCAGGTTCATTTGTCTTATGACCTGTAATGTATTAACAAAAGAAAAGTACTCTGTAAAGTGGTGTTTACAGAAAAAGAACATTATTGTTGGATCGGATATGCCTGCAGTAGTTGCAAAGGCCCCAGGGGTGCATTCAAGATCATAGCATTTATGTAGCTCTAAGTAGATCTGTGATCTTGAATAATATGCTCTCATAGCCACTAAGTAGGGAAAACTAGCTTAGATATATATGCTAGGTACCAATTAAAACCAATATTGGCACCTTTATTAAATACTGCTTTGCTTCACAGGAGGTGAAAGCACAAACAGGGGCTTTTTTGCCATATATGAGCAAATTAAATGTATATGTATTTTCACTTAAGTTTGGCTCATTTTGTTGCAAAAATCGGAAGCTTCAAGGCTAATTGTATAAAAAATCTGATACTTAGTGAGCTGTTGATTTTTTTGATAGAGCTATATATCTAGCATCTAGGTTACATGTAGCTGGTACAATCTTGAATGCAGTTCAGATGTGACATTTTGTTTGTAACGTGCAATCATGCCAGATAATTATGTTAAACATGAACTTTAATTATATAGACATGTCAACATTTAAGCATCGAATTATTATTTTTTGAAAGATGTTGTCTAATAACTCGTAGCTATTTAGATATAGCCTTGAAATTCCAAAAGTAGGTCACCATGACCTACTTTCTAGTCAACACACTCTGAGAACCCAAGATGCATAAACTGACAAAATGTGATGATTCTTATTATCCAAAATATTTAGATATAACATTGAAATTCAAAACTTGGTCACGGTGACCTATCTTTTAGTTAATACATTCCGAGAATCCAAGATATCAACAAAGTTTTATGATTCTAAACCTCTTAAGGTGTAATATCCCTCTGATAAGAGAGATAACTTTCCAAGGAAATTATTCCAAGAAATCCAATGAATTGTCTTACCAGAGTTTAATAATGAGGACCATTATATAGTCAACTCATTCAAATACAAATCCAGTTACAAATATTGATTTTTATTTTCTATTGCTTATATTTTTATGCCCTGCCATGAATATGGTCAGGGCATATAGTGTTGGTCATGTCCATCTTCCGTCCTTCCACCTGTCTTTCCATCACGCCTTGTGTTTAGCTCTGTTCAAAGCTCAGTTTCAAAGAAACTATCCAAGATATTTTTATCAAACTTCATATGCTGATAGATATTGATGAGAGCTATGCAACTGCATCAACATTTTTTGACCTTGACCTTTCCTTTGACCTTGACCTCACTTTTCTTAATTTAGTTTTTAGCTCAGTTTTAAAGATACCATTTAAGATAGTGTAATCAAACTTCATATGTTGATACATACTGATGTAACCTATTCAACTGCATCAACATTTTTTGACCTTGTCATTTCCTTTGACCTTGACCTCACTTTTCTTAAATTAGTGTTTAGCTCAGGTTTAAAGATACCATTCAATACACTGTTATCAAACTTCATATGTTGATACATACTGATGAGTGCTATTCAACTGCATCAATATTTTTTTACCTTGACCTTTCCTTTGACCTTGACCTCACTTATCTTAAATTAGTGTCAAACTTCATATGCTGATACATACTGATGTAAGCTATTCAACTGCATCAATATTTTTTGACCTTGACCTTTTCTTTGACCTTGACCTCACTTTTCTCAATTTGTGTTTAACTCAGTTTTTAAGAAAACATTCATAATATTTTCATCAAACTTCATATGCTTATACAAACTGATGTAACCTTTTCAACTGCATCAACATTTTTTGACCTTAATTTCATTTATTTTAAATTAGTGTTTAGCTCAGTTTTAAATAAACCATTCAAAATATTTTATCAAACTTAAATATGTTGATATGTATTTGTGAGAAGTATTTAACTGCATCAAAAACATTTGACCTTGAACTTTCTGTGACCTTGACCTTACTTTTCTTAGATTTGCATTTTGCTTAATTTTAAAGAAACCATTTAAGATATATTTATGTAAGTTAATGCACTTATACATAATTTGGTGAGAATTTATCATCTATATCCAACTTTTTAGATTTCAATTTCAATTTTAAAGGAACTTTTCAAGATATTCTCATCAAATTTCATACACTAATACATGTACAAATTTTCATGTTGCTTTACTAATATACCCTCGGCGGGGCATTCATGTCCTATGGACATATTTCTAGTTATTAATTACATGTACTTATAATAGTTTACCTAAAACATTCATAATCATTTCCTTTAAATTGTTAAAGTTGAGATATTTTTTTCTATCTTAAAGTTGCATAATGAGTCAAAACCATGTGTTTCTTTTCAGAAAAATGTATCACAATTAAAAGAAAAGATTTCTGTGAAATATGAATATAGCGAAGTTTTGACAACTCAACTGCACTGTAAAGCAAGAAAAAGGCTGCAAAATATGAGTGCCGGAAAAACAAATGTTGTATCTATCGCTTTGTTTTTATCGTCAATGTCAAGAATGTCAAGGTCACGCGTCCTTTATTTTTAGCGTGAAACTTGTAAACAACATTGAATTGGGGCAAGCAGAAGTAAGGAATAAGTTTTGATCATCTTTTTTGAAGATTGTATCAAAATTCTCACTCATCCGTCCGACATTTATATCTATGGAATTGAAACCATGGTAAATTCTTTAACTTTTCAGTGCATGCATACAATAAAGAGGAAGAAGTGAAGCAATATTTTTGTGATGGGTTATACAAAGATTTTTGTTACTTTTATTTTTCTCCATTAAATTAGACTTTTTATGTTCTGAACCCTGTAATTTTCTGAAACCTAATATCTTGAAGAACTGAACAAAATTTGCATGTGTCATGCAAAAATTCTACTGTTGTCAATTTTCCCGTTTGTCCATCACAGTGTCACTTTAACACATAATTCTTTTAATTGTTACAGAAATTTCAGATGCAGACTAACCAGACTTTTTACAATCAATTAACCCTTTGTGTGCTGACTTGTTTTCAGCGAGTGATAACCTCAGTACAGAATTGTTTTGGAATATTGACAAAATTGTCATATTGGCACACTTGAATGCAAATATCTTAAAATTTTGACAACCAATTAGCATGAAATTTGGCAAATATGAAGCAAATATTACGTTTTTTGAATTGATAAAGTTTTTTCTAAAAATTCTTATATTTGACATTGCCATGGTAACAAAATTTTCAAAAATATACAAAAACAATGATTCTTGAGATTCTTTAATGTACAATGTTCAGAAAAAAATGTTGCTTTGATGAAAAAAAAATAATAATTTGCTTCAAAAACTGTATTTTAAATTTAATATTAATATATTATATAAAAAAAATCAGTCAATAATTCAATGTCATGAATATGTTGTGGAAAGTCATTCTATACTTATCTGAATAAGAAATATGTTTAAGTGAATACTGAATTACACATAATACAACTTCTTCAATTTATATCCAAAAAGAGCATAATTATAAAATTCCAGTTAGCCTGTAAATCCAAATCCAGTGATCTTTTTAGCAGTTTTAGCAACCATATAAGAAAATTTGATCCCCAGTTAAGGAATATGCAGTCTTCAGGGTCAGGAAATTGGTACACCGATAGCGAAATTATATCTTATAGCCCCAATTATACTGTTATTCTTATATCTGTAAAAATCTTTCTTATTGTGCTTTTATAGGGGAGAATGCATTTCTCCAATATTGCTTGAATAGTTAACATTCATCAACTTCCCCTCCCCCCTACTTAATACTCCCTACTCTTTAAGAAATGGGCATTTATTTTGGAAGATTTTTTCCTAGCTGGCAACAATGTTTGCTACACTGTAACATAAATAATGCTAACGCAACAACTAGAATTTATGTTGTAGATATTTAAGCACCTTTAACCATTACAGTCATTTACAATATCTTCAACTTTATAAATATGCCAAAATTACTTTGGTTTTGTTTTTTTGTATGTTGTTTAACGTCCCTCTCGAGAATTTTTCACTCATATGGAGACGCCACCACTTGCCGGTGGAGAGCTGCAAATTTTGTCCTATACTCGGCACTTAGGGCCATTGAGCAGCGAGGGATCTTTTTTGTGCCAGCACCTACTGCGACACGGGACCTCGGTTTATACGGTCTCATCCAAAGGACAGGTCTCCACGTCCCACAGTGGGATTCGAACCGGCGACGTAAGGATCAACTCCTTACTCCGAAACTCTAGAGCAGACACTCTAACCACTGCACCATGCGGGCGACAAAATTACTTTGGTGTGGTCACTGATGAATATCAGTTTTGATACATTTCAATTGCTTTCAGTGCACATTAATGCACAATCGATACAGAATGTTTTACAGTGTATCACAATTATAAGCAATAACTGAATGTGCTCCTAAGTTTTATTTTGACCTGTCCTTGAAGAGCTATCTCCCTTTGTTTTGATTCAATAAAAAATAAATTTAAAAATATATATCTATTTGTTTAAAAAAAAAATTCTACTTAAATATTATTCCTAAAGATGAAATACATTTTTTCACCATAGCATTTGTTTATACTATTAGTAATTTTTTTAATTTTTATATTTAAAAAATTAGCTTATCTTTGGAGACCTCATTGCAATCTTTGTTGATCAATAACTGCTCAGGTATTTGTATTTTTGAAAAGAGCTAAATCCACGAAGGGGCTAAATCGGCCTATTTTTTCAGGAAAATTAAACTGAGGGGAAGAAGAAAATTAACAATAGAAATATTATCCTTAAGTATCAAACTTAAAAAGTGTATGCAGATTTTTTTATTTGATGACGTCATATTTGTACAGAAAACGTCTAAACACGTGCACTTTCATACTTTTTATCAAAATAAAGCATTTTTTCCGTCTTTAGTTCAATTTTTTGATGTGGCCACACCCTTCGAACAAAATTAAATTTATACCATTAAAAAGAGAATTAAAATATGAATAAGTAGAGCATATTTTAATTTTGTTCGAGGGGTGT